CGCACGAAGGTATGTCGCTATTGCGGCGGTTATCTCCTCGAATCCGTACCTGCACGGGCATCAACGGGTGGGGTCAGAGATAGCTGCAAGTACATCACAACCCGCTGCCAGTTGAACAAGAGCAGTGTCACTTACGTCGTATAGTACGCACCATAACTGTTCTTTGGGAAGCCCGGGGTGCCACGCTGCGCCAGGTGTTGGACGAGGTCCACGTACATCTCTATCGGGGCGTCGGACTTAGCGATGAAGAGCGCCGTCTGAAACAGCGCGAGCAGGCGCTCCTTCTCCACGTCTTTCACATTCGGGTTGTCGTTAATACGGGCATTTGCTTTGAGAGCCGCCTCGGCTGTCTTCTGTCTGCGCACAGCGCGGCGGTGCTTCCTTGTGCGCTGATGCTTCCGCATCGCCTGAGTCTGAACATCGGTCGCCCCTTCTCCTTTGGCGCCGAAGTTCGTCCCCGTACCGGCGTGTGCAATGCAGACCTTGCACTTGATTGACGGGAACCCTGCTTTATTCTGCAGCAGTACAAGCCACGGGTAGTTGTCAGACCATTGTTTGTTAAACATAGCTAAAGCCTCTTGGTATTTCTCCTCGGCAATGTCGGGCAGTTCTGTATCGGAAGACACCTCAACCGCTTTCCCCTTCATTTTACGCTGACGGGCCTTCGGGGAAGAGTTACCCACACCGGACGTTGGTGTAGCTTGACTGGAACCCCACCCGATCTTGGTCTGGTGGTACCTCACTTTAATACCCCTTTTAAGACGAGGACCTTGCCGAGTAGTTCCGGCAGCGACAGGTTGACGGTTCCGTGTGGGTTCGGGAGCGGCAGGTGTAGATCCGACAGCGTCAGGAGTTGATGCGGCAGCGACGGGCGTTGATGCGGCAGCGACAGGCGTTGATGCGGCAGCGCCACGAGTTGATGCAGCAGCGACAGGAGGTGAAGCGGCAGCGCCTACATGCGTCGAACACTCGCCCTGCGTCCAGATGGTAGGTGCCTCGGGGCCAGTGGAAGGGAACGGCACGGCTTGAGCTGACGGCGGGACTAACGCGGGAGCAGCGTGAACGCGTCGTAAAAAGTATAAGCCAGTAATAGCGGCTGGCCTCGTGCCTGCGACGGGCGGAGGGCCGTCACCTGCGGGCGTCGAAACCGCCATGGCTGCTCAGCGCTGCAGAGCATGCCGAGCTTGAGGGAGAAGCTACTCCTGCTTCAGCTCGAACATCACTTCCTGCAGGGGTTCACGAGGAGTGCAGGAACAGAATGAGGGAGCAGATGGGGGTACCCCCTCTCCCGAGCTGCGATGACGAGGGATCTTGGTCCAGGCCAGGGTTTCCGTCTTCCCAGGCAAGATGACAACACCCCCACTCCACTCTGCCATCCCTGGCGTGTTGGCGTGGACCCTGCCACCAGTGGTGTGTTGTCTGTGTTCTCATTGGGCAGTTGTGAACTAGGTTAGCCGTTCTCTGGTATTCTGGCTTCCAGCGCGGCAAAACGGTTCGGCGCGCACTAGCTGTAAATACAGCGCATGTGAGAAGATTCCAAGTGTGTGTGGGGTTTCGTGAATCACGCGAAGGAACAGCCTGTACACGCGTCCCCCCCCCCCCCCCCCCCCCCCCCCCCCTTTCCCCCGGCCGGTCAAATCCGTTTCAGGGTGACAGCACTGAAGTATACTGATTCCTCAGTGTAACTCGTTCAGAAACACACAAAACCGTCAGTGTGGCAAACTCACATTTACTGAAATTTCAGCCCAAAATGGAAGCATTTACTGATTTTCCAGGGAAAACGAAATTCAGAGCTACAAAATCAGCGTAATCAGCGTGTTTTACGCTGACATCTGAGGGCCTGAACACCACAGTATAACTCCTCGCTACAGTCACCTACGTTACACCTCATTGTCTCAATACACTCCCCTTCGTTTCAAGCACCTTTGGTCTTATCACATCGTTCACTCCGTGCACAACCACCGATCTCAGCATCACAACATTCCCCCTCGTTACAGTCACCCTCGGCCCTTTGTCGGTGTACACTCTAACACTCCAGTTCCCCTTAAGAGACGCCTTCTTAAGCCGCTGAGTGCCGTTGAACGCAAGTGTGACGTACTGGGAAGGGAGGGGGTTGGGGAGGGGAGAATAAAATGAGCAGCATGGGTAGGATATGTAGGAACAGAACGCAAAGTACTTTCACTACCGTTAGCTTACCTGGTGGCCTCTCCGCTGCAAGACCAGCCTCGCCAGCCGTTTCTTGCCCTTAACGAAGTTCAGAAGCGTCCCGTTCCGCAGAAGCTGCACGTCGCTCCCTAGTAGCTGCTGCGTAGCAAACAGTTTCCTCTCCTCTCCCCTCACCTGCCCGCAGCCCTCACCTGGTGGCCTCTCCGTTGGGAGACCAGCTTCGCCAGCCGTTTCTTGCCCGTAACGAAGTTCAGAAGAGCCACGTTCCGCAAAAGCTGCACGTCGTTCCCTAGCTGTTGCGCCACCGCGCGAGGCAAGGCGCGAATCGCGGCGTCGGTTGGGGCGAACACGGTGGCGTCGTCGCAAGAGAGGAAGGACGGAAATTCTGGAAGAAGGCCTGGAGAGACGGGGTGGGTTGAACAAACGTGTGTGAACGGTTGTGTTTCTAAGAGTCAACGCACGAGGCGCAGCGCAAATGGCGGCGTTGGACGGGGCGAATAAAGTGGCGTCGCAAGAGATTCGCATTGCTGAACAGCTCAACTTGGGCTCCGAACCGCCTCAAAATGCGGGATTCTAGTAGATCTCGTAAATATCAATCTGAACGGTCCCACTGGGATAAATCAGTGATATATTTCTGATGTTATTCGCACCTGTGTCATTCAAAATCTCTGAGAAAAGCTCGAAACCGTTCGACCTAAGACCTCGGACGAGTTGTCTGGTTACTACCGAGCCATCATATTTCGCGAGCCCCCCGTAACTAGTGCAGGATCCGATTCCATCAGAGGAAGTAGAGGATTTTGAAAGGAGGTGTTTCGCTTCGCCAAAGAAACCCCTGTTAACTGTCGCATGGAAGCACACGAGAAAAATGATGACCTGTAACCCCAGGAACATTGCTAGTCGTCCAGTATCTACTATGTTAGCCTACTGAACCCGTGCTTTCTCTCCGAAATTCTGCCTTTTTTCATGGGCCACAGCGCATTCCTGAACGCTCTCACTGATCCAATTCTTCGCTCTTCTTCATAAGTTCACTATGCTGGTTGGATCCTCGACTAAGTCTGAGTAGCTATTCTGGAGCGCGAAAAAATACCGGAAAGAGGGATCAACAAGAACCTGAGGGAAACGATTGATAGAAGTTACCACCTTTAGGTTACCAGCCGATTACATAGATTCAGCTGCTGTGCTGCAAGGATATACAGTTCGCCTAAACTCGTCCCCGCATTTCGCTTACCAGATTCTGCATGCTCGCGACGATCAAGATTTCGCTAGATGCAGTGTGCTTCGTGGCTCGCAACGCAATCAACTTTGCGTGGTTTGTCTTGCACAAGAAGACGGAACGCGCCGCCGTCGACATTTGTGATGTGTTTGTCATGGAGCGGCTGCGATTTCGCGAGTTCCTTCCTTACTTGAAACAGATTATGGAGTTTGCGATGAAATGCGACAAGTTTGCGCTTCGCTGTGGTAACCGGATGTCGTAGTATCGGTGACGAGACGCAACATTCGTGCGGTTTCCGATTGCAATGCGTGGCTGACGGCTGCCAGTTGCGTGCTGACGCTTCCACGTCAAGTATGTAACGTGGCCTCGTTCGGTATCGCTGTCCCCGTTGCAGTGCGTCGCATCACTGCATATGAACAAAGATATTTGTGCTGTCAGCGTGCCATATCCTAATTTATATGAAACAAGTCGATTAATCAATCGTCTGTAGTGATGAATCATATTATATAGGCGAAATGATCTTTCTTGAAATAAGATAAATATATATATATGATTATTTGATTACACAGCACGATACATCGTTCAACGTAGAATCAGCCGTGTTTACATGTCTCACCTTTTCACTGTTAGATTTCACTCATGCCTGCAACGAAAGATTTCTGCTCTTTACAGTCACACGAGGTCGTGGCTAGCTCCATGCCTTTTTTGGTTCGTTCCCTCGCGGGGAAGGGTACCCGCCATACCAAATGTATTCCCCAACCATGGACAAGCCAAATCACCGCGGCGCGACTGTGATAACCAGGCCAAAGTGCCACGTATGCTGGCCTGGGCATGAGTGGTTCGGGACAGGATACAGAACGCCCGTCTGGACCAGCCCACCCCAGCCACATCACATCACCACGTGCTTCTCGGAATTGCCGCGCCGCCCGGGATGGAAGCCCTCCTCACGAGTGCTGCATGGCATTTCACCAGGGTCCTCCCACACCACCACACCAAACCGCATGGACAAACTCGAGGCAAATGTGCGGCTCGAGATTGCTACATCCAAGGCGTTCATCATCCAGCTGCTGTTTTGCAGCCATCGATCCCCAGGCTAACCAGTCTCAAAGCCCCCATACCGTCTCAGTCATCATCACCCTCCAAAAACCACAACCGAACCCATTCCCTTTTCTCCCCTCCTTGTTAGCGCTGAGACGCACTACTTCACATCACCCACACACTGCTTTTCAGCCTGTCAGTCAAGTTTCTGCTTCCGCCCGCTGCGGAACACCGAATTTTGCGGTCGACCAATGCTGGCTCCGTTTTCTTCGCCCTGCCGCCTGAGTCTTAGACCGCAGCTCGCGTGGTTTTTGTCGCCCTGCTGCTTGTGTCTTTGACCTCAGCGAGCGTGGCGGCAAGTGCCGCAGCTAGTTTGCTTTGAAGTATCTCAGACTCTCAGACCGGAGGTTACCTGTTTCGTTGCGAGCCTGTCTCTAGGGGAAGCTGTCCTCGTCGAGGTTGAATTAGCACCCTGCTTTCCGAGATTCTGTTGTCCTGTTTTCGTAATTGCAAAGAGAAAGGTTTTTTAATCGGAGTCATTTTCCAGAGTACTCTCCCAGCTTACTCAGAAAAGTCGCTGAAAATGGTGAGCTACGTCGATGGGCCAGAGCATTCGCCTTCCGTCGGCGGGCGACTCATAGGCGGTCGCTACCTTCGCCTGCGAAAGATCGGAACCGGGTCGCAAGGCGACGTATGGGAGTGTGAGGACATTCGCACGTCGCACCGCGTCGCATGCAAGTCCTTCTCCCCGTCCACGCGACGAACCAAATCCTCCGTGGCCGTCCTCGATATATACGCGGAGATGCGCGCGTTACAAACCCTCGGCGGGCACCCGAACGTCGTACGCCTTATAGACTTCTTCGTCGATGCGACAGAAGTCCATATCATAATGGAACTTGTACAGGGCGGGGATTTGTGCACAGAAATCTGCGAGAACGGGCCGCTGCCGGAGCCGCTGGCTGCTACAGTGCTGCGTCAGCTCGCATCCGCTGTCGCTTTCTGCCACGCCAACGGCGTCGTGCATCGCGATATCAAGCCGGAGAACGTGCTGTTGGTGCGGCCGGTGCAGGAGAAACCAGAAGATTGGGAAAGTGAAGGGCTGGATAATTGTCACCAGCAACAGAAGCTCCAGCCGCAGCAGCTTCTGGATTCGTGCCCGTTACCTCTCAGTTTTATCACACCAGAGGCGAGAGAAAATGCGCTGCTACGAAAAGGGGGCCTTCGTGGCGAGCAGGAAAAGAGTGCGATCATGGAGATGGCTTTGAGGAACAGGACGAATATCGCAGCACTCTTATCGAGTACGGACCTGGTAACGGGGCAGACCTGCGCCGATATCAGCCCGAACGTCGTTCCGCAGAATCTGTCACCGCTTCCTGACCTCCAGTCACCGCCTCCTCATTCCCCCGCAGCTACTCCCAAATCAAGCCCGGTTCGGCCGTCCGTGTTTTCGCGCTTCGGGAGGCTAAAGATCCAGCAGGCCTTGGCGCATCGGCTAGGCCACGTGGGCGCGGGGCGGGGGATTGTCGGAGTGAAGCTGGCGGATTTCGCGCTGTCGACGACCGTGGATGGAGGGATGTCGGGGCAGAAGCACGGGCGGGGAGCGGGCACGCGCATGTACATGGCTCCTGAAATGAAGCAGCGCGGTTCGGGACGGGGCTCAGGAGAGGGGAGAGGTGGAGAGGGAGGAGGTGGAGGGAGGAGAAGTGGCGTGACGGATGGTGCGCATAAGGATGTAACGAGAGGTGGAGAAGGGGAAATAGGAGGAGGAAAAGAACATTTTCGGTATTATGGGTGTAAGGCCGATGTTTGGAGCTTAGGAGTGACGCTGTGCGTGATTCTAACGGGGCTCATTCCGGTTTTCGACCAATCAGGCTGCTTGGATCTAGGCGACCCAGTCTGGAGAAGGGTTTCGTGGGCGGCGAAGGATCTCGTCCGTAAGATGCTCCAGGTGGACCCGAATCAACGGCTGAGCTCGTTCGAGGTTCTGGAGCACCCGTGGCTGAATCAGAGGGCGGTTCGGATGAGAGACATTGCCACCCGGTGCCCGAACCTACTCTCCCCGCTGCTTCCTGCCCCTGCTGTAAAGTCGCTGCGGGCTTGATGCGCCCACAACGCAAGGGTTGAAAGACATTGCCACTCGGTGCCCGAACCTGCTCCCTCTGCTTCCTGCTCTCTCCTCTGCTTCCTGCTCCTGCTGTAAAGTCGCTGCGGGCTTGATGCTCTCACAACGCAAGGGTTGAGAAACGTTGCCAGTTGGTGCCCGAACCTGCTCTCTCCGCTGCTTCCTGCTCCTGCCGCAAAGACGCTGAGGGCATGACTTTACCCCTGCATCCTGCTCTCCCCACTGCTTCCTGTCCCTGCTGCGGAGACGCTGAGGACTTGATGCCACTACCTGCATTTCCCTCTCCAACACCCACGCAGCCACGCAACCCCTCACATACACGCTATTGCGGCTCCTCTAACAAGGTTGAGGGCCCATTTACACTCCGGCGGGGTTGAGAGGGGTTGAGAGACATTGTTATACGGTGTCTGAACCTGCTCTCCCCTCTGCTTCTTGCTCCTGCTACCAAGACACCAAGGGCTTGACACATACTTTTATGGATGGCCCTTATACTCTTATACTTCCTCTCCCACTTATACTCTTTGCCTCGTCTTTGCCCAGCTGAGTCAATTCTCATATTACCAACTGCTTCCTGCTCCTGCTACCAAGACACTTGATGGCTTGACACATACTTTTATGGATGGCCCTTATACTCTTATACTTCCTCTCCCTTATACTCTTTGTCTCTTCTCTGCCCTTCGGACTACGCCTCCTTCACCCTTCACTTGCTTTCCGAAATTCACCCTTCACCTGATTTTCGCCGGTCACCATTCACCTGCTCTCTGCCGTTCACCCTCGACCTCCTCTCCCCTTTTGGCACCACATACCCATACCAGTTACCTCCCTTTTCCCCTCTATTGCTGCTTCTGCACTGCTGCTCCAATAAGGAAGGTGGCTTCCACAAGCTTTTGCATAAGTTTTGAGGTCGGGGTTTATACGGAGAATGGTTGGCCTGACCAGAGATTTTAATACGGGCTGATCAGGTTGTGAGAAGTTGTTGGGAAGGAAATAAAGGGGTTGTTGAATAAGCTATGGGGCGTAGCAGCACTTGATGTCACTATACTATTCACACTGTCAATGTGATCAATACATGTACATGCAAGCTTTATTGCTTTTCATCCTGATAATTTGAACTTATATTGCAAACCAAACAAAAATTCCTTACATGTCATTTCACTTAAGATTCATGGCACATAGGACGCGTAACATGATTATTGGCAAGTTTTAGGTTGTAGCGAAACCATGCTAACTTGCGGTAATATAATTTGCATCAGGGCAGTTCATTCTTCCACGTAATTGATCGTTCACCACATGTTTGCACCGCCTGATAGGGCCGCGTGACAGGAAGGTATCGTTAGCGTTCCTTTCGGCTTCACGCGTATAGCAGCGTTCACGTGACACAGGTGACCGAAGCTATGGCGATCGCGTTACAATTAGCTGCCGTGACTTCGAACGTCCCAGGAAGCCTAAATCGCGGCTCACTGCAATCGCTGCGGCCCGCACAGGTACGTACAGGGTAGAAGGTAGGAAGCTACGTCGCAGGACGTCGCAGGAAGGTCCGGCTTGGGAGACTACGACGCAACATGAATCACACAACAATTAGGCTGTCACGAAATCGTTTCAAGAATTATGAGACGCGGGCTTTAAAATCTATGACATTCCGAAATCGTTTGTGGCTCCTAATTACGTGACATTACCCACTGTTTTCTTTAACTTGCCGTTCAGGCATCTCGCTTGGCGATTCCACTCCGTCGGCGTCAAATTCAAGTGACAGCGTCCCAGGACCAGCAGCGGCAAGGTATGCAAGTTAACAGAGTTGAACAGATGATTGAGTAGCAGTAGCAGAGTCAGAATCAGAAGCAGAAGCAGAAGCAGCAGCAGAAGCAGAAGCAGAAACAGAAGGTGGACAGCTTTCTTTTTTCCCCACCCTCAACCCCCCTTATCCATCACTCCCCACCAAAATCAACTGGTGATGAGCGCAGCAAAATGGTGCTTCACGCTATCTCCTCCATTTACCTCAGCCACCCTCCCCTCCTCCCCTCCTCGACTCTCCTCTCTCCCCCCTTAACTCTCTCCCCTCTTTGGCTGCCCCCTCCATTCTTCTTCCCAGCACAACCAACCATCCCGGTGATGAGCGCAGCAAGGAGGTGCTTGAGGCCTTCTTTCCCCTCCATTCACCTCTGTCCCCGCCACCCTCCTCGCCCCACCTCCCCTCCCTCACCCCCTCCATTCTTCTTTCCAGCACAACCAACCATCCGGTGATGAGTGAAGCAAGGAGGTGCTTGAGGCCTTCTTTCCCCTCCATTCACCTCTGTCCACACTCCCATTCACCCCCCCACCCACCCCCTTTCCATCACTCCCCAGCACAACCATCCATCCGGTGATGAGCTGAGTGCAGCAAGGTGGTGCTGGAAGATTCCTACCCTGCTGCACTCATAAGATTTCTGCCCCATAAACTCTTCCCCTTCCCCTACCGCCTCCCCCACCCGCCCCTATCCATCGCTCCCCAGGAAGTGATGAGCGCAGCAAAGTGGTTTTGAGAATTCTCAAAAACACTCTGCAGCATCAGGAAGTGATGAGCGCAGCAAGGTGGTGCTGAAAGATTTCTACCTTGCTGCACTCAGCTCCATATACTCTTCCCCTACCCCTACCGCCTCCCCCCAACCGCCCTCAATCCATCACTCCCCAGGAAGTGACGAGCGCAGCAAAGTGGTGCTGAAAGATTCCTACCTTGCTGCACTCAGCTCCATATACTCTTCCCCTTCCCCTACCGCCTCCCCCCACCCGCCCCTATCCATCGCTCCCCGGGACGGGATGAGCGCAGCAAAGTGGTGCTTGACGCTCTCTCCTCCATATAGTCCCCCATCCCCCTTTCCCGCCTCCCCCTCAACCCCCCACGCCCGCCCACCTGTATTTATCTCCCCCCAGGAAGTGATGAGCGCAGCAAAGAGGTGCTGGAAGATTTCTGCCCCATGAACTCTTCCCCTTTCCCTACCGCCTCCCCCTACCCACCCTCTATCTATCCATCTCCCCCCAGGAAGTGATGAACGCAGCAAATAGGTGCTGGAAGATTTCTCCTCCATATCCCCCCCTTCCCCCCCTACTTCCTCACCCCCTTCTCCCCCCTCTCCCTCACGCGCTTTCCCCCCCACTCCCTCACCCCCGCCGCCTCCCCCTCAACCCTCAACCCCCACCCGCCCCTGTCCATCACTCCCCAGCAAGTGATGAGCGCAGCAAAGAGGTTCTGGACGCCTTCTTTTCTCGGCAAGGCCGTAGCAGAGGTGTTTTTCCTCCCCTCTACCCCTCCCCCCTCGTACATCACTCCCCAGGAAGTGATGAGCGCAGCAAGGAGGTTCTGGACGCCTTCTTTCTCGGCAAGGCCGTAGCAGAGGTGGTATCAGAGCGGTTGGGGTCGGCTGTGGGAGAGATTCTGAGTGAGGTGGGGAGGCGGCAGGCGGAGCAGCAGCAGCAACTGAAACAGTTTCAGGTGAGCTGGTGTGTCTAGAGCAAGTGAATCCAGAGGTGGTATTGGTTTTTGTATGAGCAGGTGGGGTCGGCTGTGGGAGAGATTTTGAGTGAGGTGGGGAGGCGGCAGGCGGAGCAGCAGCAGCAGCAACCGAAACAGTTCCAGGTGAGCCGGTGTGTCTCGAGCAAGTCAATCAGAGGAAGCATTGGTTGGTAGGAGTGAGATTCAGAAGTGGGAAGGTGCCAGGCGGAGCAGCAGCAGCAGCAGCAACCGAAACAGTTCCAGGTGAGCCGATGTGTCTCGAGCAAGTCAATCAGAGGAGGCATTGGTTGGTAGGAGTGAGATTCAGAAGTGGGGAGATGGCAGGCGGAGCAGCAGCAGCAGCAACTGAAACAGTTTCAGGTGAGCCGATGTGTCTCGAGCAAGTCAATCAGAGGAGGCATTGGTTGGTAGGAGTGAGATTCAGAAGTGGGGAGATGGCAGGCGGAGCAGCAGCAGCAACCGAAACAGTTCCAGGTGAGCCGATGTGTCTCGACCAAGTCAATCAGAGGAGGCAATGGTTGGTAGGAGTGAGATTCAGAAGTGGGGAGATGGCAGGCGGAGCAGCAGCAGCAACTGAAACAGTTTCAGGTGAGCCGATGTGTCTCGAGCAAGTCAATCAGAGGAGGCATTGGTTGGTAGGAGTGAGATTCAGAAGTGGGGAGATGGCAGGCGGAGCAGCAGCAGCAACCGAAACAGTTCCAGGTGAGCCGATGTGTCTCGACCAAGTCAATCAGAGGAGGCAATGGTTGGTAGGAGTGAGATTCAGAAGTGGGGAGATGGCAGGCGGAGCAGCAGCAGCAACTGAAACAGTTTCAGGTGAGCCGATGTGTCTCGAGCAAGTCAATCAGAGGAGGCAATGGTTGGTAGGAGTGAGATTCAGAAGTGGGGAGATGGCAGGCGGAGCAGCAGCAGCAGCAACTGAAACAGTTTCAGGTGAGCCGATGTGTCTCGAGCAAGTCAATCAGAGGAGGCAATGGTTGGTAGGAGTGAGATTCAGAAGTGGGGAGATGGCAGGCGGAGCAGCAGCAGCAGCAACTGAAACAGTTTCAGGTGAGCCGATGTGTCTCGAGCAAGTCAATCAGAGGAGGCATTGGTTGGTAGGAGTGAGATTCAGAAGTGGGAAGGTGCCAGGCGGAGCAGCAGCAGCAGCAACTGAAGCAGTTCCAGGTGAGCAACTGAGGCCTTATGCAGAGTAACAGAGGTTTTTTCTACAACCGGCATGTCTTCAAGCAAGTCAAGCCAGAGACTATGTTGGTAGGCAGGAGCGAGTGGGATCGGCTGTGGGGGAGATTCTCAGTGAAGTGGGGAGGCGGCAGACGGAGCAGCAGCAGCAACTGAAACAGTTCCAGGTGAGCTTTTGAGGTGTGATACAGAAGTGTTTTCTACTGGCCTGACTCAGATCTTTATCGGACTTGGAAGCAGCTTGCGTCTAACTCTCCACATATGGGAGAGTTAGCAGTGTTTGTTAAGCCAACACAGAGTGTATGTTGAATCAATTTGACTGTTTGTGCCATCTTCATTCACATCTGACAGGAGGAGGTGAAAGAGAGAGCAAGGGAGGCGTTGGAACGGGCAGCCAAGGATGCCAAACGATAAGCAGGATCTTGAGGTTGACATGGGGTTCTTCTGGTTAGCAACTGTACCTACCGCATGTTATTGGGTGACTGGTGTTTGAAGCCATATCAAAACCCCTCCACCTCCATTGATGCGGGCACACTGGGTCTAGAAGATGAAACGTGCCAATACAAAGTAGCTGGCAGACCCTTACTGTTGCAGTGCGACTCAAATGTAAAGCACAGTACTACCATGTCAGCAGATAAAATAAATCTAATATATTCACAAAACGACCAACAATACAAGATTTGAGGATAAGCAATGGCTGCTAGAACAATCAATGGGTAATGTGAGAGCAAGGAGGTGTCTACTCTGACTGCCTACTTTCATGCACCTCCAGTCCATCCAGACAGACCTCATTCTGGTCCAGATTGAATCACGCAAAAGTCTCCTCTTTAGACTTTCCATGTCTCCGACTGCCTATACTCCCTCCAGGGATATTTCTTCTGGGAAAATAATGGACTCCCAGCAGCAGCAAGTGACCGTTTCCAGTCATTCTCCTTTCTTGCACAATAGAAGTGCCAGATTTTGGCATTCAAGGCTCAGTGGTAACGCTTGACGAGGTTTCTGCAACGGCTCTTTCCGTGAAGGTGACTCTGCCTGCAAATGCTCTCTGAACTGCTGCTTCCAGGCTCTCCTTCAGCAAATTCTCCCTGTCAACATCCTCGATAAGGTCACATCCCTGTACAAGTAAGTCCTCCTTATATCGAGTGCTGCCAGCGATGTCTGCTTGGACGTCCTCGTACAGATTCCGCACCGACTTGCGTGAAGCGCGGTACTTATGTACGAGCCGGCGTAAATTTCTGAGCCGTTGCATCCACTGCTTCTTTGAAGCTTGCTCTTGAGCTGCACGCTGGCGTTTAACTGAAACGGAAACCGTCAACAGATAATGCAGGCAGGGGGTTGGGTCAATAAACGAACGGCTCAGGCTTACAAACAGGGTTTAAACGTCTAACTGAGACGGGTGCCGAAGACAAAGCTGCTAAAATGCTTCGCTGGGTGGAGTATAATAATTAGAAAAACGGAATGCTATTAAATGAAGGGATTGGATGTAACAGGACTCACTTTGCCACGCGTGCCCGTTATCGCGCTTTGCCGCCATGAGTAGACGCATGCGAAGACACGCGGAACGCATGAAGAGCGTCGGATTCCGGAATGGGACGGAGCGATCGGCTAGACGATGAAGCTGTGCAATCTGCCGGGTTTGACCTCCGTTGAGGGAGACTCCGTTAGGATACCCTCCGTTGAAATCAAGTTCAACTGCGACGAGCGCCATGGTAAACCTCTAAACCTTTCAACGAATCAATCAACAAATTAAGGTGGGATTGTAGCTGAAAGAATAGATACTAATCAGGCCATGATCGTGTGAAGCGTAATGATCGAAGAGCAGCTGCTTTCAGGCTACCATAGGGAGAGAACGGAAGAGATATGGCTTCATTTCTGAACATCATCCAGCCTAATAAATACTAAAGGAATGAGCGATCACAAACCCATGGTGGTTGAGAGTTTATGGATGGATCAATCGTTCAGACATGGTATGCTTGGGTGCTTTTGCTAGTTCTGGCGATTATGTGGAAGCAGGGAACCCAGCCAGACAGGATTTATGGAAACGAATTCTGTCATCGGTAAGGTCAAGGACCAGAAAGCGTCAGCTCCACGGAAGGTGGAAATTTGGCGTGGCGGATGGGGAAGGGGAGGGGGGACGGGGAAGAGAGTGCTTGGCTGCAGAGACAGGGTGCTGTAGGTTTTGGGGGTGTGCAGGGGAGTGAGGAAGTGAGGGAGAGGTCGCGTGCGCTTCAAGTTCTCCCGACAAGTCCCGACTCCCGACCTCCGTTGACCATGCAGAGCCCGCGCGGATAGCTCCCTTCCGCGCAAGTTTCTCAGTGATTGACAAGATTGGATGGGCGAGCCGCGGGATGTCCCAGGCCACACATTTTTGGCGGCTCTCTGGGTTCAGGGTTTGTGGAAATGCGATTGAGCTGGAACATTTTATGAAACGTGGTGCGGTTCCTAGTGTTTATCTTTTATCAGCTGAAAGTGTATCGAGGATATCGCGTGCCGAGCGTAACCCGGGCGTGTGACATCTCCACGAAAACCACACTTCAAAACGAAGTTCGCCGACATTCCAGTTTCCATTCGCCACGCACAAGCTTCAGATTCTTTGCCCCGAACCCGCCACCTCGACATGTATCCACGTGGATCCCCGACATGGTGACGCCAAATGTGGTCCCCCGGACCCCCGCTGGGTCGCAGATGTGCAATCCAGATCGGTGGTCCCACCCACCCCATCAGCTTCCTGGTTTCGCTCACTCGTCCAGCTCACCCGATTGGACCACAGGGAACTCCAGCTCATGACCACCATTTCTCATGCAGAGTGCCCAGGCAATCCAACCAGAACCAGAGTCTGCATTTCCAGATTTCTGAAATCTTGTTTTGCTTCAGGCAAGGCAGAAGAGATTCCTGTGACTTGCAAAAGTGCTTGGATCGCTGCTCGCTAATTACCACGCTATACAGCGTGATAGTCTTGCTCTCTGGTTTGGTATTTCCGAGCGAGATAGTTTCCTTGCGTGAATTGCGTAGCGTTCCGATTCGATCAGGTACATTACCATTGTCCGTCACCGCTGGAAGTTTCCCCGACCTGACCTCAGATCGACTCTGACGTTAGCGTTTCCCCTTTGCAGAGCCATGGCGAACCCGTACCAGCGCTTGCTGACCGAGCTGCCGAACCCTGATGGCGGCTCCTTTGGCTCGTATTACAGCCTCCCCGCGCTCAACGACCCTCGCATCGGTACTTACTGATACGATCCCTTATGTTTTTTCTTATTTCTTTCGCCAATATATATTCAAACTTCCGTTTTCATGACTCGTTCCACCTGATGTCTGTTTCTTTGCCATGCAGATGAGCTGCCAATCTCCATTCGGTATCTTTTGGAGTCCGCCATTCGCAACTGCGATAATTTCCAGGTCATGGAGAAGGATATCGAAAAGATCCTGGACTGGGCCAACACCTCCCAGCACCAAGTCGAGATCCCGTTCAAGCCTGCGCGTGTCATCCTGCAGGTTCGTACTCGCTTCTCTCGTGTTGTTCGCCCTTTTTCGTTAAATTTAGTCGAATTTGTCGTCAGATTGCGCCGTGTCGCGTGTTGCATTTCTTTGTGTATCAGGCCTGACGACTTTGTGTGTGGGAATTTCTGTGCCGTTACTGTTTGATCAGGATTTCACTGGCGTTCCCGCTGTTGTGGACCTTGCTGCGATGAGGGACGCCATGAAGGAGTCTGGCGGCGATCCGAATGCCATCAACCCTCAGGTGCCGTTCAATGATTGAAACTAATCATGCTGTTTTCTGTTGCTTTGACTCACCTAAGATTCAACATCAATTCGGCTCATGCTATCGCTTTTCACGCACATGTTGAACTTCATTAAAGCTGTACCGTTTGAATCTGTGAACTTGCTGCTGGTACGCGCCTAATGTTAATTACCGGCTCAATGCCATCCAATTATAGGTGCCTGTAGATCTGGTTGTCGACCATGTTTGCAATGCAGGAGCTTTCATCAACTCTGCAGCCTCCAGCTTTCCCTCGTTTTGAGAACCTTAGCCCTCATTCAGGTCTCAATTCTGTCCTACCGCAGGTCTCTGTGGATCTTATGATCGTCCTCTCGGTGCAAGTGGATTACGTAGGGGCGTTCAACGCGGTGAGCCTTCTGAGGCACCTCCAAATCTGTCCAACCCGTCCCTCTATTCCCTCCCCCCCCGCAACCCCCCCCCCCCCCCCTGCAAACCTCGCCCTTCTCCCCACTCCCCCCACCAGGTGCCAGTGGATCTGGTGATCGGCCACTCGGTGCAGGTGGACTACGGGGGGGTATCCAACACGCTGAGCCTTCTGAGGCGCCTTGGAGTCAATTCTGTCCTTCCCGCGCTTTCCCTCCCCCCTCTTCCCCTTCCCCTCCTCCCCCCTTTCCCCCACCAGGTTCCCGTGGATCTGGTGATCGACCACTCGGTGCAGGTGGACTACGCGGGGGCGTCCAACGCGCTGAGCCTCAACATGGAGCGCGAGTTCGAGCGCAACAGGGAGAGGTTCGCGTTTCTCAAGTGGGGCTCCAAGGCCTTCAGCAACATGCTCGTGGTCCCGCCTGGCGCTGGCATCGTGCACCAGGTGCGTTTTCTGGGTTTCAAGGTCTTCAGCAACAGGGAGAGGTTCCAAGGTCCTCAAGTGGGGCTCCAAGGAGTTCAGCAACATGCTCGTCGTGCCGCCTGGAGCTGGCATTGTTCACCAGGTGCGTTCTCTTGGTTAGCCTGCTCTTTTAGTGGGGTTCTTCGAAGTGCCTGGCGCTGGCATCATGGACCAGCTGAGTGCCTTGCTGATCCCTGGGGGGGGGTCTTTCAGGATGTTTTTTGGATTACCTGAAATTGGCATCGAGCACCAGTTAACTGCCCTGGCGGTCTTTGGGGGAAAGCTCTCAGGATGGTCTTTGGAGGACTTGGGGATGGCATCACGCACCAGGTGAGTCTCCTCGAATGACCTGGCCCTGCCATCGTGCATCGGGTGATGGCGCTGGCTGTTTTTGAAAGGGGCGCTCAGGATGGTTTGTTTGAGTACCTGCTGTTGGCATCATGCACCAGGTGACTTCTCTGGCTTCACCTGATCGCTCGTGATATGTACAGGATTACATCACTGGTGGGAAGAATTCATCCCCTTTCTTGCTCACATTGCATTGAGAATAATGGGCATTGGCAGTGTATGTGCGAAGCGCAGGTGAACCAGGAGTACCTTGCGCAAGCGGTGGTGATGGTCATCAACAGGCTCCTTATTTTTTTTCAGAACTCCCTGAAATTTCAGTGACGGTCGCATGTCCCTGCATTGCATGTGCAGGTGAATCTGGAGTACCTGGCACGGGTGGTGATGGACATCAACGGGCTGCTCTACCCGGACAGCGTTGTTGGCACCGACTCCCACACCACCATGATCGACGGGCTCGGCGTCGCAGGCTGGGGCGTGGGGGGCATCGAGGCCGAAGCAGCCATGCTCGGGCAGGCTCTTCAGTTTTCCAGGATTTCCACCAAATAGCACTGTCGCTTGTTCCTGTGGTGCATGTGCAGGTGAATCTGGAATATCTCGCACGGGTGGTGATGGACATCAACGGGCTGCTCTACCCCGACAGCGTTGTCGGCACCGACTCCCACACCACCATGATCGACGGGCTCGGCGTTGCAGGCTGGGGCGTGGGGGGCATCGAGGCCGAAGCAGTCATGCTCGGGCAGGCTCTTCAGTTTTCCAGGATTTCCACCAAATAGCACTGTCGCTTGTTCCTGTGGTGCATGTGCAGGTGAATCTGGAATATCTCGCACGGGTGGTGATGGACATCAACGGGCTGCTCTACCCCGACAGCGTTGTCGGCACCGACTCCCACACCACCATGATCGACGGGCTCGGCGTCGCAGGCTGGGGCGTGGGGGGCATTGAGGCCGAAGCAGCCATGCTCGGGCAGGCCATGAGCATGGTCCTCCCGCAAGTCGTGGGCTTTAAGCTCACGGGAAAACTCCAGCCGGGAGTTACCGCCACGGACCTCGTCCTCACGTGTACGCAGATGCTGAGGAAGCACGGCGTGGTGGGGAAATTCGTGGAGTTTTACGGGGAGGGGACGAGGGAGCTGTCTCTGGCGGACCGGGCAACGGTGGCGAATATGTCGCCAGAGTATGGGGCGACCATGGGGTTCTTTCCTGTGGATTCGGTGACGCTGCAGTATCTGAGGGTGACCGGGAGGGATGAGACGAAGCTGAAGCAGATTGAGACGTACATGCGCGCGAACAATCTGTTCATGGACCATACCACTGTGAGTTGACAATCTTTTGTTTCAGCTGTGTATGCTGATTAGCACGGGGAGGGGACGAGGGAGCTGTCTCTGGCGGACTGGGCGACGGTGGCGAATATGTCTCCTGAGTACGGGGCGACGATGGGGTTCTTTCCTGTGGATTCGGTGACGCTGCAGTATCTGAGGGTTACCGGGAGGGATGAGACGAAGCTGAAGCAGATCGAGACGAACATGCGCGCGAACAATCTGTTCATGGACCATACCACTGTGAGTTGACAATCTTTTGTTTCAGCTGTGTATGCTGATTAGCACGGGGAGGGGACGAGGGAGCTGTCTCTGGCGGACCGGGCGACGGTGGCGAATATGTCGCCAGAGTATGGGGCGACCATGGGGTTCTTCCCGGTGGATTCGGTGACGCTGCAGTACTTGAGGGTTACGGGGAGGGATGAGACGAAGCTGAGGCAGATTGAGGCGTACATGCGCGCCAACCACCTGTTCATGGACCATGCAACCGTGATTTTGACTGTAGCTTCTCAAATTTGCATGCTGATCAGCCTAAACACCCCATCATGGACCATGGCACTGTGACAGGCATGTCTCATTGGCTCACCTGCAATCTACTCCCCTGCACCTTCCCCCCAGCACCTTCTCCCCTGCACCTTCCCCCCTGCACCTTCCCCCCTGCACCTTCCCCCCTGCACCTTCCCCCCTGCACCTTCTCACCTGCACCTTCTCACCTGCACCTTCCCCCCTGCACCTTCCCCCCAGCACCTTCCCCCCTGCACCTTCCCCCCTGCACCTTCCCCCTTGCACCTTCTTTCCTGCACCTTCTCACCTGCACCTTCTCACCTGCACCTTCTCACCTGCACCTTCTATCTTCATCCTGATTCAGCGCATCTGCCTGTGTCTTTCTGTGGATCCTTGCGTGTATCACCTCTCCCCGCCAGGCTGGTGTGTTTAGAGTCGACTCAAAACCCACCTGCACCTTCTACCTCCATCCTGATTCAGCGCGTTTGCCTGTGTCTTCCCTGTGGATCCTTGTGTGCATCACCTGTTTCCCCCCCAGGCCAGAAAGGCAGACTTATGAGTTGACTCAAAAGTCAACGTCTACCTTCGTCCTGATTCAACGCGTTTGCCTCTGTCTTCCCCGTGGATCCTTGCGTGCATCACCTTTTCCTACCCCAGGTTGGAGAGGCGGAGGCCAAGTGCAAGTACTCGCCCTCCTTGGAGCTAGGCCCTGCTACTGTGGAGCCCTGCGCCTTTGGAGAACATACCTCTTAAAGTATCCTCCGTATTGCCCTTTTATCCTTGCTTTTCCTGTCATCCGTGTCATCTGTGTCATCTACCAGGCTGGAGAGGCGGAGGCCAAGCGCAAGTACTCGTCCTACTTGGAGCTAGACCTCGCCACGGTGGAGCCCTGCGTCTCTGGACCCAAGAGGTGGGGGCGACGTGGCTTTCTAAACCCAGGAAACGAGCAAGCAATATCACTGCTCAATTTGTTGTTTTCATCATGCATGAGTGCTCCGCCATCTCTAATTGTTCTCCTTCTCCTGTTGATGCGCCTCTTCCCCTTCCCCTCATTGTATTTCCCGTGGCTGGTTACCTGCTTTGCTTGGTTCCTTGCAGGCCGCATGACCTTGTTGACTTTTGAGTCGACTTTTGAGTGGAGTTGACTTTCGAAAAGTTTTCCCCTTCCCCTCACTCTATCTCCCGTGGCTGGCTGGTTACCTGCTTTGCTTGGTTCCTTGCAGGCCGCATGACCGAGTGACTTTGAAGACCATGAAGTCCGACTGGCACGCTTGCCTCGACAACCCTGTCGGTTTCAAGGCAAGTCTCTTCATCATTCCAGCACGTCTCTTTCATGTTCCCACCTAGCCCTCTTCCCAATCTCAAACCCATCACCTACACTAGTAGTGACTGTGCTATGCTGTCCCGTTTCTACCCAACTTCATGCCCTCGCCCATCCCCAAGGCTTTGCCATTCCCAACGCGCTGCAGGGCAAGGCAGTGAAGGTGCTGCTAAACCCTAGACAAAGTGGAATCCGAGCTGGTGCACGGCTCTGTTGCTGTCATCGCCGCCATCACCTCCTGCACCTCCTGCACCAACACGTCCAACCCGTCTCCTCCTTGTGCCCCTGTGCTGTGCCCTCTCTCCATTTCCCCAGGGTTTTGCTATCCCTAAGGCCCAGCAGGGCAAGGCAGTGAAGGTGCTGCTAAACCCTAGACAAAGTGGAATCCGAGCTGCTGGTGCACGGCTCTGTTGTTGTCATCGCTGCCATCACCTCATGCACCAACACGTCCAACCCCTCCTTGTGCCTGTCTCTTGCCTCAACTTCCCTGTAGGTGACTGACTGACTGTGCTGTTTCTGCCTCTACCCCACTCACTGCCCTCTCCCGTCCACAGGGCTTCGCCATCCCCAAGGCGCAGCAGGACAAGGCAGTGAAGGTGACTCTCAAGGGGCGGAGTGTGAGCTGAAGCACAGATCCGTGGTCATTGCTGCCACGTCAACCCCTCCTTGTGCCTGTGCTGTGCTCTCTCTCCATTTCCACAGGGCTTCGCGATCCCTAAGGCCCAGCAGGACAAGGCAGTGAAGGTGACTCTCAAGGAAGGGGTGGAATCCGAGCTGAAGCACGGATCCGTGGTCATTGCTGCCATCACCTCCTGCACCAACACGTCCAACCCGTCGGTGATGCTGGCGGCAGCGATCGTGGCGAAGAAGGCGAGTGAGAGGGGGCTGCAGGTGAAGCCGTACGTGAAGACGAGCCTGGCGCCTGGCTCCAACGTCGTCACCAAGTACCTGGAGGCCAGGTGAGGGGGGCCGGTGGCTGTGTGCTGTTCCTGGTTAGCCAGGGGGTTCTGGGTTTATGCAAGGGGGCGTAGGTGATGCTGGCGGTAGCCATTGTGGCGAAGAAGGCGAGTGAGAGGGGGCTGCAGGTGAAGCCGTATGTGAAGACGAGCCTGGCGCCTGGCTCCAACGTCGTCACCAAGTACCTGGAGGCCAGGTGAGAGGGGTTTAGGGTTGGGGTCTTTGGGGTTGTGTTTCCAGTCAGAAGGTTCTGGGTTTAGGCAAGGGTGTAAGTAAGGAAGCATCTGGCTGCAGCATAGGGAGAATGAAAGGGGGCTCCAGGTGAAGCCATACGTGAAGACGAGCCTGGCCCCTGGGTCCAACGTCGTCATCAAGTACCTCGAGGCCAGGTGAGGAGCTCGGGTTGTGTGTTCCTGGTGGGAAGGTTCTGGGTTTATGCAATTGGCTGAAGGAAGGAAGCATCTGGCAGCAACATAGACAGAACCCGTCACTTACGCCTGCATTTTATGCTTCGAGAACCGACCCACTTTTTGCGCTTCCTTCTGTTGATTTTCCCCTCTCTCTGCAGTGGCATCCTCCCAGCTCTCGAGTGTCATGGCTTGCTCGTGGTGAATTTTGCTGCACCACGTGCAATGGGAGCTCATTCTGCCTCTTTTCTTTCCTCCTCTCCGTCTTTGTTTCCCTCGTTCCTCTCTCTGTGTGCAGTGGTCTTCTCCCAGCTCTGGAGGGGCAGGGCTTCCGCGTGGTGGGCTATGGCTGCACCACGTGCATTGGGAACTCAGCCATCCTCTGGACCCTCCTCCTCTTGATCCTTATTTCCCCCTATCTTTGTGCTGTGGCCTCCTGCCAGCTCTGGAGGGCCAGGGCTTCCACGTGGTGGGCTATGGCTGCACCACGTGCACTGACTCATAACCCTCCGCTCCCTCTACCCGCCTTTCCTCCTCTTCCCTCTCTTTTATGCAGTGGACTCCTGCCAGCTCTGGAGGGCCAGGGCTTCCACGTGGTGGGCTATGGCTGCACCACGTGCACTGACTCATAACCCTCCGCTCCCTCTACCCGCCTTCCCTCCTCTTCCCTCTCTTTTATGCAGTGGACTCCTGCCAGCTCTGGAGGGCCAGGGCTTCCACGTGGTGGGCTATGGCTGCACCACGTGCATTGGGAACGCATGCGTCTCCTTTCCCTTTTCTCTCCTTCCCTCCTCTCTCTTGTGTCTTCAGTGGCCTCCTCCCGGCTTTGGAGGGCCAGGGCTTTCACGTGGTGGGCTATGGCTGCACAACGTGCATTGGGAACTCGGGGGAGATTCACGAGGCCGTTGGACAGGCCATCGCTGACAACGGTATGTGCAGCAGTGGCATACCCTACAGAGGCCCAAGCTAGAGTTCATCTCATCTATTCCTACTCATGCTTTCCGATAAGCATATCCGGATAACGCCACGTGCATTGGGAACTCGGGGGAGATTCACAAGGCCGTTGGACAGGCCATTGCTGACAACGGTACGTATGCCACGGTTGACGCTGAAAGGGTGTAGCCTGGCAATTATCTTGGCAAAAAACTGCTCTCTCACGTACATCCATTCACCAGAGCCCATTTTGAGACGTCTCAAAACTGCTCTCTCACGTGCATCCATTCACCAGAGCTAACCTCTTCTCTCACTTCCCCCCTTCCCCCTCTGTTTCTTCTGTCCCTCTACACAACATCGGGCCTGGTGGCTGCAGCGGTACTTCCTGGTAACCACAACTTCGAGGGTCGCATTCATCTTCTCACTCGGACTGACTTTTGAGAATTCTCAAAAGTCATTCCAATATGGCTGCAGTGGTACTTCCTGGTAACCACAACTTCGAGGGTCGCATTCATCTTCTCACTCGGACCAAACCCTCCTCCCTCCTCTCTTCCCTTCAACCCACACATCAACAGACCTTGTCGCAGCAGCAGTGCTGTCTAGTAACCACGACGTTGGGGGCTGTGCCCATCCTCTTACCCAAGCCTACCCTCCTTCCTTTTCCCTTCGCTGTTTCCCCCCTTCTCTTCCCCTCCATCTCGCCCACGAATCAACAGACCTGGTGGCGGCAGCGGTGCTGTCCGGTAACCATAACTTTGAAGGGCGTGTGCATCCCCTCACCCGAGCCAACTACCTTGCCTCCCCGTTCCCCATTCCCCCCACCCCCCTTCCCGTACTCTTCCTTTACTGTTTCCTCCGCACCAAACAACAGATTTGGTTGCGGCAGCGGTGCTCTCTGGTAACCGTAACTTTGAAGGGCGTGTGCATCCCCTCACCCGAGCCAACTACCTTGCATCCCCGCCCCTCGTCGTGGCATACGCGCTTGCTGGCACGGTGAGTAGAATGTGCTACTGTCATGGGTGTATGCCTTTGTTCCCCTCACCCGAGCCAACTTCCTTGCATCCCCGCCCCTCGTCATGGCATACGCGCTTGCTGGCACGGTAAATGTTCAGCTTGCTGGTTGATGGTGGTTGGAGTTCACGTTGTATCTTTGTCAGAATCAACCCTTTTAGAATCAACTGCCTGCCTTGCATCCCCGCCCCTCGTCGTGGCATACGCGCTTGCTGGCACGGTAAATGTTCAGCTTGCTGGTTGATGGTGGTTGGAGTTCACGTTGTATCATTGTCAGAATCAACCCTTTTAGAATCAACTGCCTGCCTTGCATCCCCGCCCCTCATCGTGGCATACGCGCTTGCTGGCACGGTAAATTCAGATTGCTTTCTGGCTGGTGGCTGGAATTCATGCTGTGTCGTTGTCAGAAACAACCCTTGTTAGAATCAACTGTCTACCTTGCATCCCCGTCCACCGCCGTGGCATAGCTTTTGCTGGCATGGTAGGTGTTCAGCTGGCTTACTGTTTCTCCTGTATCACTCCCCTTTATTGTCACACGCGGCCATGTTTCTTTCGTTCATTACATGACCACAATTTCTCAGGTGGACATTGACTTTGAGACGGAGCCCATCCGCGCGGACGAGGGTGTGAAGAGGTGTTTCTGAAAGACGTTTTCCTTCCCTTCCACATGCACATGGTTTATTCATTCACAACATGACAATCTTTCCATTCCTCCCCTTTTTCTTTTTTGCGTGCATGGTTCCTCCATCCATCACATGACCACATTCTCAGGTGGACATTGGCTTCGAGACGGAGCCAATCAGCACGGACGAGGGTGTGAAGAGGTGTTTCTGAAAGACGTTTTCCTTCGCTCCCACATGCACATGGTTCATTCACATCATGACAATCCTCACAGGTGGACATTGACTTCGAGACGGAGGTTATTGGCACGGACAAGGACGGCAAGGAGGTGTTCCTCCGAGACATCTGGCAACATAAGCCGCACCAGGCCCTACCAAACGTCTCCCCTCTTTCTCCCCTGCACGTGTTGTCAATTCACATCATGACCACATTCTCAGGTGGACATTGACTTTGAGACGGAGCCCATCGGCACTGACAAGGACGGCAAGGAGGTGTTTCTGAGAGACAGAGACATGTGTCTAACATAAGCCCCACCAGGCCCAACAGATCGCCTCCTCTCGTCCCCCCTCCTCTCGTTCCCCCCTGTGCACATGTTTCATTCATCCATCTCAGGTGGACATTGACTTTGAGACGGAGCCCATCAGCACTGACAAGGATGGCAAGGAGGTGTTTCTGAGGGACATCTGGCCCAGCAAGGAGGAGGTGGCCGAGGTGCGTGCATCTGAACTGAATCTGAGGCGTGTGTAATTTTTACATGAATGGAGAGCCTACAAGGCAGGTTTGAGGCGCCTCTGTAAGTGTTGTCACCAACGCCCTGTCCCCTGCTTCCTCCCCTAGTTTCCAATCCATATTTGCTAAAACGTCCAACCCTGGCCCCTTCAGCTGCAGTTTTTCCAGTCGGTGGACAAGGCGGTGAAGGAAGGCGCCACCAACGCCCCCATCAACCCCTCAACACCCCTCTGTTCCCTATCATCACCCCTTTATCCCATCAAACCTGATTCTTAAACCCTGGCAGGTGGTGGAGAGGGCGGTCCTCCCACAGTTCTTCCAGTCAGTCTACAAGGCAGTGAAGGAGGGCACCACCAACGCCCTCTGGAACCCCTGACCACCCCTCTTACTCCTATTTTTACCATTGTGAATCACTAAATCCTTCTCCAGGTGGTTGAAAGGGCGGTTCTCCCTCAGTTCTTCCAGTCAGTCTACAAGGCAGTGAAGGAGGGCGCCACCAACGCCCTCTGGAACAGCCTGCCTGCGGAGAACGAGCCTCTGTACCGCTGGGAACCGTTCTCCACCTACATCCACGACCCGCCCTACTTCAAGAACTTCCCCCGCGACCCCCCTGGTGGCAAGGACGTAAAGGACGCCTTCTGCCTGCTCAACGTGGGCGACTCCATCACCACCGATCATATTTCCCCTGCAGGTGGGTGCTTGGAAGAGTGTATGTGTTTGAGAGTGTGGTATACGTGTGTCTACAGTGAGGGTTGGCGTTGTGGGTTGTGGGGTGGCAAGGACGTAAAGGACGCCTTCTGCCTGCTCAACGTGGGCGACTCCATCACCACCGATCATATTTCCCCTGCAGGTGGGTGCTTGGAAGAGTGTATGTGTTTGAGAGTGTGGTACACGTGTGTCTACAGTGAGGGTTGGCGTTGTGGGTTGTGGGGTGGCAAGGACGTGAAGGAGGCCTTCTGCCTGCTCAATGTGGGCGACTCCATCACCACCGACCACATCTCCCCTGCAGGTGGGTTTTGTTTTGGGACCCCTCTCTTCCTCCCTCTCCTCTTCCTCCCTCTCCTCTTCCTCCCTCTCCTCTTCCTCCCTCTCCTCCACCTACATCCACAACCCGCTCTACTTCAAGAGCTTCCCCCGCAACCCCCCTGGTGGCAAGGACGTGAAGGACGCGTTCTGCCTGCTGAATCTCGGGGAAAAGACTTCAACTCGTATGGTAGCAGGCGGGGCAATGACGAGGTCATGACTCGTGGCACGTTTGCCAACACCTCTGTCCCCAACTCCCACCCTGTCCTCCCTTCTGTGCTGCTCCCTGTGCGACTCGTTGGGCACCCCCCTCTGCCTCCCCTCCTCCCATCACACCAGGGAGCATCCACAAGGACAGCGCTGCAGCCAAGTATCTCACAGAGAGAGGCGTTGCTAGGAAGGACTTCAACTCGTACGGCAGCAGGCGGGGCAACGGCGGGCTGGCATTGTAGGGCGACCCTTACTCCACCTCTCCTCCCACGTCCTCCCTCCCATCACACCAGGGAGCATCCACAAGGACAGTGCTGCAGCCAAGTATCTCACAGAGAGAGGCGTTGCTAGGAAGGACTTCAACTCGTACGGCAGCAGGCGGGGCAACGGCGAGCTGGCATTGCAGGGCGACCCTTACTCCACCTCTCCTCCCACGTCCTCCCTCCCATCACACCAGGGAGCATCCACAAGGACAGTGCTGCAGCCAAGTATCTCACAGAGAGAGGCGTTGCTAGGAAGGACTTCAACTCGTACGGCAGCAGGCGGGGCAACGGCGAGCTGGCATTGCAGGGCGACCCTTACTCCACCTCTCCTCCCACGTCCTCCCTCCCATCACACCAGGGAGCATCCACAAGGACAGCGCTGCAGCCAAGTATCTCACAGAGCGTGGAGTGGCACGCAAGGACTTCAACTCGTACGACAGCAGGCGGGGCAACGACGAGGTCATGAATCACATCCTTGGGGTGTATTTTGAGGCGCCACAAAATGCATGACTCACATCCTTGGGGTGTATTTACAGGCGCCTCAAAATACATGACTTACATCCTTTTCCACAATTTCCACCCTCTCCACCCCCCCTCCCGTGCTCCAGGAAGCATCCACAAGGACAGTGCTGCAGCCAAGTACCTCACAGAATGGGGCGTGGCGCGAAAAGACTTCAACTCGTATGGCAGCAGGTGGGGCAACGACGAGGTCATGACCCGCGTGTGCACTTCCTCGTGCGCCTCCCTCTGGTCCCCCCCCCCCTGTGCTGCTCCAGGGAGCATCCACAAGGACAGTCCTGCAGCAAGGTATCTCACAGAAAGGGGCGTTCCCAGGAAGGATTTCAACTCATATGGCAGCAGGCGGGGCAACGACGAGGTTATGACTCGCGGCACGTTCGCGAATATCCGGCTGGTGAACAAGCTTGCGGGAGGAGAGGTGGGACCCAAGACGGTGCATTTGCCCTCAGGAGAGAAGATGAGTGTCTTCGATGCTGCCATGGTGAGTGGACAGGGTTATTAGCAGATTGTAACAGGGTTACCAGCTAGAAGGGGCACGTTTGCCAACATCCGGCTGGTGAACAAGCTGGCAGGCGGGGAGGTGGGACCCAAGACGGTGCATTTGCCCTCAGGAGAGAAGATGAGTGTCTTTGATGCTGCCATGGTGAGTCGAGATAGGGTTAGTGTGAGGGAGGAATAGGGTTACCAGCACGCTGGTGAACAAACTGGCAGGCCGGGAGGTGGGACCCAAGATGGTGCACCTGCCTTCTGGAGAGAAGATGAGCGTCTTCGTTGCTGCCATGGTGAGTGGGGTTGCTAGGGTGTAACAGGGTTACCACCAGGAGCTGGAGATAGGGCTATCAGCAGGAAAGATGGGCACACTTACTGTCTCTTTCGACCTCACTGTCACACTCACACTCACTGTCACTGTCACTGTCACTGTCCAATGTATGCCTTAACTGTATGTGTCTTTGCTCCCTTCTTTTGCCCATGAGCAGAGGTACAAGGCGGAGGGTTATCCCACCATTGGCTGGCAGGGGCGGAGTATGGAAGCAGCTTGTATGTCTGTCACACTCACACTCACTGTCACTCTCGTCTCCAATGTGTGCCTGCATGTGTCTTTGCTCCCTCTGTGAGTCCATGAGCAGAGGTACAAGGCAGAGGGACATCCCACGATAGTCCTGGCAGGGGCGGAGTATGGAAGCGGCTCTTCCCGTGACTGGGAGTGTGATTGTCCCTGTTATTAATGGGTCTGTTTGCCTGTCTGTTCGTCTGTATGTTTGTCTCCCTCTCCCTCTGTGTGTCCATGAGCAGAGGTACAAGGCGGAGGGCCATCCCACCATTGTGCTGGCAGGGGCGGAGTATGGAAGTGGCTCTTCCCGTGACTGGGCTGCCAAGGGACCGTATCTGCAGGTATGGCAATGCAATGCGAGGGTGTGCCTGTGTGCTCGAAGGGAGTGTGTCAAGAGACAGTATTTGCAGGTGTTTAGCATGTAAGGGCGTAAACGCAAGTGCTCATACGTGCTTACAAAGGCTAGGAAATCAAGTTTGTCAAGCCGAAATGGAGAGTCCGGAATCAGACTGGCATGAGGGATCATCCCCCCCTGCTTTATCCCCCTCAATTGCCATCCTCCCATCCTGTTTCCTTGGTTTCACTGCGTCCTCTCTGTTTCACCTCATCCCAGGGTGTGTGAGCCGTCATCTCTGTTTCCTTTGAGCGCATCCACCGCAGCAACCTGGTGGGGATGGGCATCATACCGCTCTGCTTCGAGCCCCTCACCAAGCTCCCTCACTCTTGCCCCCACCTTTTCTGCCTTGTCATACACACCTACAGGGAGTGCGGGCGGTGATCTCCGTCTCATTCGAGCGCATTCACCGCAGCAACCTGGTGGGGATGGGCATCATCCCGCTCTGCTTCAAGCCCCTCACCAAGCTCCCTCACTCTTGCCGCCACCTTTTCTGCCTTGTCATACACACCTACAGGGAGTGCGGGCGGTGATCTCCGTCTCATTCGAGCGCATTCACCGCAGCAACCTGGTGGGGATGGGCATCATCCCGCTGTGCTTCAAGCCCGGCCAAAACGCCGAGACGCTGGGGCTCACCGGCAAGGAGCGCTTCTCCTTCTCCCTGCCGCCGGTGGATCAGATCCAGCCCGGGCAGGACGTGGTGGTTTCCACGGACAACGGAAAGTCGTTTACCTGCACGCTGCGCTTTGATACTGAGGTGAGCACGACTGGCCGCGCTTCGATTCTGAGATGCCGAGAGGATTCTCCTTCTCCCTGCCGCCGGTGGATCAGATCCAGCCTGGGCAGGACGTGGTTGAGTCAACTGACAACGGCAAGTCGTTTACCTGCACGCTGCGCTTCGACACGGAGGTGAGTACCGTAGCCACGCAGAGTATACATGTGAAAGCCCGCAGGGAAGGAGGTGGGGGGTGGTAGTGGATTCTCCTTCTCGCTGCCGCCGGTGGATCAGATCCAGCTCGGTCAAGACGTGGTGGTTTCCACCGATAGTGGAAGTCGTTCACCTGCACCCTGCGCTTCGACACGGAGGTGAGCCGTGGAAGCACACAAGGTGTACATGTACAGACAATGAGGGTATGCGCCAAGCAGGCAAGCAGTCATGAAGGACTTTTGAGGTGCCTCAAAAGTCGCTTTCGACACGGAGGTGAGCCGTGGAAACCGACGAGGTGTACATGTACAGGCAATGAGGGTATGAGCCAAGCAGGCAAGCAGTCATGAAGGCAGAGAGTGCTTTTTTGTCTCCCTGTCGCCAGTGGATCGGATCAAGCCTGGCCACGCACAACGTGGATATGACTAAAAGTGAACCGAATCTTCCAAGTCAAAGTTGGTCTTGATGTTTCCGTGGTTTCTTTCTCCTGCTGTGCTGTGCGTGCAGCTCGAAAAGGCCTACTACAATCACGGGGGCATTCTGCACTTTGTGCTGCGTCAACTGCTGGCCAAGTCCACTGCTGCTTGAGTCGGTTGTTGAGCAATGAGCTCTATTACACACGAATAGGATGGCTTACGCTGGAGAAACATGTGGAGTTGAGCGTGCTGTTACAGTGCATTGGAGGGGTACATCTCTCGTTGGTGTTTTTTGATGTGGTAGCAAGCCTTGGGAGAATACTGGAAGCAAGCAGCATGAGAAATCATGATGTGGATTTCATGTGTTCATTGCTTCCTGTTCACGCCCTGTCTTTTGGTTATAAGGGTGACTGCTGATCGTCATTCAAACATTAGTAACTGTCGAGGAAAGTCAGAACAACAGCTACAATGGATGGGGAAATGCTGAATCCCAGGAAGAAGATGGAGAAACAACCTTCTCATAGAGCACCCCTCTTCGCCACATAAATCAGCACTGGTAAGAATGAAGCACAATACAGCACACTCTACTTTATTGGGGCACTGAACAGACTGCTCGCAAGAAGAAAACAACCATACCGTGATTGCAAACAGGCTCAGAAAGTCCCATCACCCTCTCCCAGTAGAATAAACCCCGTCACCCTCTCTCAGTACCCGTCCTGTTGAACCCCCTCTCAGTATCCATCCTGCTGCATGTGGCCCGAGCTATTAACCAAGGAAGAATTCTCCCTCACCGAGGCTATTAGTACACGTACGGAATAAGCTTCTTAACCCTCTCCCTATACTCCAAATACCTCTGGCCGAATTTCTCGATCAGAAATCCCTCCTCAGCTGTAGCCTTCCTGTCAAAGAGCACCAGCAGCAGTACCGTCATAATACCCCGTCCTGTGCTGTTTGTAAGGAGAGTAATACCAGATGCGATCAGTAACGCGCTACCGTATAACGGATGACGCACTACCGCGAACAGCCCGCCAGTTTCGAGCTCCGAATCCGGCGGCGGCTTGGGGTAAGGCGAAAGATTCGTCCCGATATCTTTAGCCCCCTTAGAAGATAACCAAACGCCAATACCCAATAACGCGGCACCTATAACGTAGTTCAAATACCAGATTTCGCTCGGCTGAAAAAAAGAGCCTGGGATGAAGAGAGAGAAGAGGAAATCTGGCGGGAAAATGATGCCAGCAAATATCAGGAATTGAAGAACAACGTAAATCTCGCCGCGTTTTCCCCACTGGCCATCATCTTTGAAGAAGTTGTCCCGAAGCTTCTGCCGACGCTGCTCGTCCGCGCTGAGAGCAGGTCCGGAGGCAGCCGAAGCTGGGTCGAAGGTTCGGGAACCAGCCTCGGGATCTCCACTGGAGCTGCTTCCCGGGGGAGACGGACCGGCGAATGGGAGAAGCGGATCGGTATCAAGTTTGGAAGAGGTATTGTTCCGCATTTTCAGGGACTGCGGATGTTTCGGGTGACTGAGCGACTGTAGGAGCTGCGGGGAAACAGGCGCTGCGAACACTGACGGCGGTTTTCTATTACGAGAACTCGCAGATGTAGAAGTGACTGGGTTGAATCTAACCGTATGACAAAGAGAGATCGGGGAAACAACGGTGGAGGACAATATGAAGGACGACGGTCGATAACGCGACGATGTCGATGAATTAACGAAGGATCGCATCGGCGAAGTGGGGAAAACAATTGTGGTTACCGCCCGAGTAACCATCCGCAGTAAACTGTTGTGAAAAAGGAAGGGATCAGGGGCTTAGTGCAAGGAAAGGCGAGCGGTTGATTAATATCATGGAGCATAACTGATCATGGACGTAAGGCGAGGTCTGATTAAGCAATGTCAGAATATGAAACGTTTAATCTAAGACCGGAATCTTAGAGGTGTTTTATGCAAGCCGAGAGAATACACGTATTGCTGCTGGGTTGGTGGCGGGCACTATGGGACAGGAATTTGCCCCTCCCTTGCTGATGCATGCGGAAAGCAAGATTGGCGGGGCGAATTCGGCCATGTCGATTGCACGTGCGACAACGCGGCAAACCATGCAAAATCTTAGAGGTTCGCACTGGATGCTTTAGGAGAATTCGATTATCGTACAACTACACCGAAGCTGGCTGACTGGTCAGAACCTTCTTTATGCTTTTTTTTCTGACTTCTCATTTCATTTCACTCCACACACATCACGCAACAACAGAAGTGCCCCAAAAGGTACTGCTTCCACTCAGATTGCATTCCCGGTTTGGACATCATCCGAAGTTTGCCCATCCGAACGGATTTAGCGCGCGGATGGTGTCCCTATTGGGGCAGGACCCCACCTCGGACATTTTGGATGCGATCGGGGTCGCACGCGTCGTTTGCATGATGCGAGTTTTTGGGGGTCACCAACCAATTGGGGTATCGAAATGTCATAAAACGACGAGAAGCGACAACGTAATGGGCGCCAACTTTAACAGCAGAACCTGCCATCCGGGCTGTTTCAAAAATAAAATGCCTGATTGACTTGGGCTGCCAACTTAAACTTTCTTGACTTGGGGGCGCCCGATTGGAATCGTGGGCAGGACCATGTAGATGTAGCCGGTTGCCTGGCACGTTTGCGCCAAGTCAGCTCCAACGCACTGCAACGCCCCTTTCATGCCCCATCGCACAGCAGGACACCTGACGTGCAATTGGTCGCACGTACGCTAAACCGTCAGGTCCCAACGTGTCCCTACTTCGAACCGCGTGGCCGAACATTGAAGTGTCATTTTTGGAAATTGCGATCCGCGTGTCCCGACTTCGAATGCTGTCCCGACGGGGAATGCAATCTCAGTTCACACAACAAACGGCTCTTCCTGGTTTTGAAAATACATATATTTCAATTTTGCCAACTCCACCTCGGTCCTAGGTGGGGCTGAGAATTCCACCGAGAAGCTGCAGCAGAGCTCCAACCAACCCTCCACTAACAACTGGTACGGTACCAGACCAACTCTTATGCACAGCTAGCATATGCAGCTGGGGCAGATACAAGTCTGGCCATGGCTAATAAATGTATGGAATGAGCTTCTTCACTTTTTGCTTGTACTCCTCATACTTCCGGCTATATTTGCCAATCAGGAATCCTTCTTCCACTGCTGCCTTCTTGTCAAACAAAATCAGCAGCAAAACCATTAAAATCCCCCGTCCTGTGCTGCATGTGAGGAGGGTTAAACCAGATGCGGCCAGCAACGCGCCACTGTATATCGGGTGACGCACTATCGCGTACGTCCCGCCAGTTTCGAGCTCCGAATCTGTTGGCGGCTTGGGGAAAGGGGAAAGGTTCGTCCCGAGATCTTTGACCGCGTTAGAAGAAAACCATCCGCCAATGCCTAGTAACGCGGCTCCAGCAACGTAGTTTAAATACCAGACGTCGCTGGGTTCGAAAAACGCGAGAGGGAGGAAGGAAGAGAAGAGGAAATCTGGCGGGAAAGCGATGCCGGCGAATAGTAGCATCTGGATAACCACGTATTCTTCCCCTCGCTTCCCCAACTCGCCGTCTTTAAACATATTATCCCGAAGCTTCTGTCGACGCTTCTCCTCCGCGCTGAGATCTGGTCCGGAGGTTTGGTTGTCAGCCTCGGGATTGTCACCGGAGCTGCTGCCTGGGGGGGATGGACCAGCAAATGGGAGAAGCGGGTCCTTTTTGCGATTGGAGGACAGGATTCCCTCCATTTTCCAAGAATTCGGATGATCGTGATAACTGCGTGGCTTTAAGTTAAGCTGCGAGGTAAGAGAGGTGGGGCCTGACGACGGGGCCTTGTTGCGGTCCTTCGAGTCCGGTCTTAACGCGGATACGGGAGCGGCCGCAACGGTATGAAGAGAAGCGCTCGGGAAAACGACGCAGGAGGATGATAACGGGGAGGTGGTGGCTCGGCAACGCAGCGCCGTACGCAATCCAAGGAGCGTTCGCAGCGGCGAAACGCCAGTAACAGCCGTGGTAACCATCTCACCAAGCTGCTGTCAGAAAGGAAAGCAGCAGCGGCAGTGGATAAAGCGAGGGATAAGATGCCGAGATGTAATGGGATGAATGCAACAGCAAGAGGATTGAGGAATATTGAATGCCAATGCTAGTTAGATTTGACGAGGCATTTATAAGTGGCGGAAATTAGGCTGGACCCAAATTTGTTTCCTCCTCTATCGCTGACGCATGCGAATGGGATTTGGCGAAATCTGCAAGCTCGTGGAACGTGCGACGGAAACTCGCGTGCTCGCGAAAGTTCGCGCTGGAAATATCAGCACAGAGCAATTCCTGAAGAAGTGTCGCAGGCATAGGAGCTGAGATCAGAAAAAGCTGCTTCGTTGGAGATTACAGCTACACTTCAAATATTGCACATGATATACATCATTTTCATCCTTGCTACTATTACAGCTATCTATCTACCCCTAGTTAGACTTAACGGAAGAACGCGTCCTCCACCTCGCTTTCTGGGCATTGGGTGCTCTTCCCCTCCAGAAGAGGCCTTGTTGTCGCTTCCCATTTCCTTAGCTTCATGCATCGTCCCTGTTACACCTTCCGTCGTCTCACCACCTTCACATTCAACTCCAGATTGATTTCTTGCATCATCAGCTTCAGTGGCGTCATTACCAGGAAGTAAATCGTCATCACCCTTGGCCTGGCGTGTGCTTTCCACGTGCTCTGCAATGATTGCCAAGATTTGATCCCCGAACTGATCCGCTCGTCGTTGCCCGATGATTTCTGTCAACTGTGGAGGGAGAGGTTGAAAAGCGAAATAGGAACGTTATAACAAGTGCCAAGGAAGGAGTCACACCATTTATATATCCAAAAGAAGAATGTGCGTTGCACATGTATGTTTTCTGAAGGTGGGCAAGTGGGTGATTGTGAGCAGTGTACCACTGTGATTAAAATGAAAGTGGCCAATACCTGAGGCAAGGTTGTTAGCTTGGAATGAGAGAGCGAGAAGGTGGTGCGAGGAGAGCACAGCATGGCCGAACAACTCCCCGTGTTGAGAGGCAATGGAGGTATGGAGGTGTGAGGAGGGCCGTACCTGATGTACCTTGGTGTAAAGAAAGCAATACCTGAGGCATGGCCGCTGGTTTCTACTCCAGGCCACTGAGGCCACTGAGGCCACTGAGGTTTGGAGGCATGAGGAGGGCCCTACCTAATGTGCCTTGCTGTAAAGAAAGCAATACCTGAGGCATGGCCGCTGGTTTCTACTCCAGGCCACTGAGGCCACTAAGGTTTGGAGGCATGAGGAGGGCCCTACCTAATGTGCCTTGCTGTAAAGAAAGCAATACCTGAGGCATGGCCGCTGGTTTCTACTCCAGGCCACTGAGGCCACTGAGGCCACTAAGGTTTGGAGGCATGAGGAGGGCCCTACCTAATGTGCCTTGCTGTAAAGAAAGCAATACCTGAGGCATGGCCGCTGGTTTTGACTGCGGTAATGTGTTGTGAGGAGGGCCGTACCTGATGTACCTTGGTGTAAAGAAAGCAATACCTGAGGCATGGCCGCTGGTTTCTACTCCAGGCCAATGAGTCCACTGCGGTTTGGAGGTGTGAGGAGGGCTGTACCTAATGTGCCTTGGTGTAAAGAAAGCAATACCTGAGGCATGTCGGCTGGTTTGGAGTGAGAGAGAGCGAAGAGGTGGTGTGAGGAGAGCACTGCATGGGGGAACAACCCGCCTTGTTGCGCGGCGATGGAGATATGAAGGTAGGTATGAGGGGGGCCGTACCTGATGCATGGATGCTGGTTTTAATTGTGACAAGGCGAAGAGGTGGTGTGAGGAGAGCACGGCATGTGGGAACAGGCCGCCGTGTTGAGAGGCAACGGAGCGACGCAATTGGTCGAGACGGCGTGAGAGCTTTGCGTCAGATGCAGCAGCGGCTGCAGTGGTAGCAGTGGTGGAGTTGTTGGTTGTGGTGGTTGGTGCAGTTGAAACGTTTGGGTCAGCAGGAGAATGAGGGGTAGTTGTTGTTGCTGGTCTGGGGATGTCCATTGTAACATGCATCTGACCTGTAGTGTAGGCGATAGGAAGAAAACAGTTTATACGAGGAAAAGAGCATGTTTGGAGCAGCAGCAGGAGGAGGAGGATGGGGTGTGGTTGGCGTGGCGTTCAACAGGGAATGTCCGTTGTAACACACATGGAGTTTTTGAGAATTCTCAAAAACTCCCTGCAATGTCCGTTGTAACGCACATCTGATCTGTAGTGGGTCGATTTTTGAGTCGACTCAAAAATCGACTCAGCACACGCGGAGGAGGAGGGGTAGTTGGCGTTCAACTGGGAATGTCCGTTGTAACGCACATGGAGTTGGCGTTGTAACTGAGAATTCTCAAAAACTTCCTGGTGTAGTTGGCGTTCAACTGGGAATGTCCGTTGTACGCCAGTTGTAACGCACACATCTGATCTGTAATGGTTTGTAGGTAATAGGAAGGAAAAACTTGAAACTGGAAAGGGGTAAAGGAAGCAGGATGAGGATAAGGGGCGGATGTTGAGGGGCTCACCTGACAGGCCACCTGAATTCACCTGGCACCACCTGCAAGGCCACCAGAAATCACCTGAAACCACTTGACAGACTTAAAAGCCACCTGAGCTCACCTGAGAGAACACGGTGTGCGTTGCGGCCCAAAAGCAGATAGGCGTTTGTGGCATATGGTGAGTGCTGAAACTCCTGAGAGACCATCTCCACTCCACTCACCTGAAACCACTCACTCACCTGTGAGGACGCGGTGTGCATTGCGGCCCGGAAGCAGGTAGGCATTTGTGGCATATGGCGAGTGCTGAAACTCCTCCCTCTATAGTCACACAGGCAAGCAACGGTTTAGGGCACATACAAACGAGCATGCACATGCAAAACCGGATTGGCATTTGAGACGTTTGTGGTGTATGGTGAGTGCTGAAACTCCTCCCTCTTTAGTCACATATGAGGCAGTATGGGGAACGTGCACAAGCACATGACGCAAAAGCAAGTAGGTGTTTGTAGCATAAGGTGAGTGCTGAAACTCCTCCCACTATAGTCACACATAAGAAAAACCTTCATACTTCTAATGTATACAGTACATAGGCCATACGGCATTGGAATGAATACAGGAGCGAGATGTATTTTGATTGTACTGGATAGCCTACTCTACTCACCAGCACAGATGACAGGAGCATATGCGTTATAAGCTGCTCTGTTGTCTCTTTAGTGATCCCTTTCACCAACGAACCCCAACTCTCGGATTCCCCTTTTCCCCCTGCCTTCACATTCCCTCTCCCCACTCCTCCGCCTCCCCCTCCTCCTCCCCTGCCTCCTGTTCGCCATTGCTCTGTAAGCTGCAACAGTGTGAGGGATTTCTCCTTGGACGATTGGGTTTCTTGAACGAATTCGAGGATGGAACGGGCGTGGGGAGTAAAGTCCTGCTGCGCTGTTCGTTCCCCTCCTCCTCCTCCCTGGCTGCAAATGTCACACATGCCTGGGCGGGATGCAGAGGGGTGGGGTGTGGAGGGGTATGGTATGGTGTGGTGTGGAGTGGTGGGGTGGGGCGTGGACGGGTGTGGTGGTGGGGTGGGGTGTGGAGGGGTGTGGAGTGGTGGGGTGGACATTCTTCAGCATAGGACGGCATGGTATGGCACTTTGCTGACTAACACCGCGACTACCATGTTTGGCCAGCTCGCCTTCGCACCCCACCACACCCCACCACAACCAGCCACACCAAAACCAACCACACCCCACCAAACCAATATCATGGCAAAACATTTCACCAGCTCACCTTCACGCTCCCTCGGCTCCTCCCCAAACTGCCTAAAGAAGGCCGTCCTTCTCTAGGGAATTGCAGAGTGTTAAGCATGCATCATACAAGGACTTCACACACTCACCCTCACATTCCCTCGGCTCCTCCCCAAACTGCCTAAAGAAGGCCGTCCTTCTCTAGGGAATCGCATAGTGTTAAGCATGCATCATACAAGGACTTCACACACTCATCCTCACATTCCCTCGGCTCCTCCCCAAACTGCCTAAAGAAGGCCGTCCTTCTCTAGGGAATTGCATAGTGTTAAGCATGCATCATACAAGGACTTCACACACTCACCCTCACATTCCCTCGGCTCCTCCCCAAACTGCCTAAAGAAGGCCGTCCTTCTCTAGGGAATTGCATAGTGTTAAGCATGCATCATACAAGGACTTCACACACTCACCCTCACATTCCCTCGGCTCCTCCCCAAACTGCCTAAAGAAGGCCGTCCTTCTCTAGGGAATTGCATAGTGTTAAGCATGCATCATACAAGGACTTCACACACTCACCCTCACATTCCCTCGGCTCCTCCCCAAACTGCCTAAAGAAGGCCGTCCTTCTCTAGGGAATTGCATAGTGTTAAGCATGCATCATACAAGGACTTCACACACTCACCCTCACATTCCCTCGGCTCCTCCCCAAACTGCCAAAATAAGGCTGTCCTTCTCTAGGGAATTGCAGAGTGTTAAGCATGCATCATACAAGGACTTCACACACTCACCCTCACATTCCCTCGGCTCCTCCCCAAACTGCCTAAAGAAGGCCGTCCTTCTCTAGGGAATTGCATAGTGTTAAGCATGCATCATACAAGGACTTCACACACTCATCCTCACATTCCCTCGGCTCCTCCCCAAACTGCCTAAAGAAGGCCGTCCTTCTCTAGGGAATTGCATAGTGTTAAGCATGCATCATACAAGGACTTCACACACTCACCCTCACATTCCCTCGGCTCCTCCCCAAACTGCCTAAAGAAGGCCGTCCTTCTCTAGGGAATTGCATAGTGTTAAGCATGCATCATACAAGGACTTCACACACTCACCCTCACATTCCCTCGGCTCCTCCCCAAACTGCCTAAAGAAGGCCGTCCTTCTCTAGGGAATTGCATAGTGTTAAGCATGCATCATACAAGGACTTCACACACTCACCCTCACATTCCCTCGGCTCCTCCCCAAACTGCCTAAAGAAGGCCGTCCTTCTCTAGGGAATTGCATAGTGTTAAGCATGCATCATACAAGGACTTCACACACTCACCCTCACATTCCCTCGGCTCCTCCCCAAACTGCCTAAAGATGGCCAGTCTTCCTTTGACATGAGATGGCACCGCACAGTACATTACCACACCCCACTACACTCCACTGCACCACACCACATCACACAACATCTGTCAACCGCTCACCTTCGCATTCCCTCGGCTCCTCCCCAAAGTGTCTGAAGATTGCCGTTCTCCGACACTCACGGCGATTCTTTAGGGAGGAGGGAGGGATGGATTGGGGTGGAAAGGGGTGGAACGGCTGTGGAAAGGGATGGGAAGGATGGGAGAAAGTGCCTGAAGTTAGCCGTTCTCCGACACTCACGGCGATTCTTTAGGGAGGAGGGAGGGATGGATTGGGGTGGAAAGGAAGGGGTGGAACGGCTGTGGAAAGGGATGGGAAGGATGGGAGAAAGTGCCTGAAGTTAGCCGTTCTCCGACACTCACGGCGATTCTTTAGGGAGGAGGGAGGGATGGATTGGGGTGGAAAGGAAGGGGTGGAACGGCTGTGGAAAGGGATGGGAAGGATGGGAGAAAGTGCCTGAAGTTAGCCGTTCTCCGACACTCACGGCGATTCTTTAGGGAGGAGGGAGGGATGGATTGGGGTGGAAAGGGGTGGAACGGCTGTGGAAAGGGATGGGAAGGATGGGAGAAAGTGCCTGAAGTTAGCCGTTCTCTGACACTCACGGCGATTCTTTAGGGAGGAGGGAGGGATGGATTGGGGTGGAAAGGGGTGGAACGGCTGTGGAAAGGGATGGGAAGGATGGGAGAAAGTGCCTGAAGTCTGATACCCCCCTGCTGCTGTATATGGCTCCCTCACCCCACCCACTCACCATGGCAGACAGGTTCATCAGCCCAGTCTGATACCCCCCTGCTGCTGTATATGACTCCCCCACCCCACCCACTCACCATGGCATACCGCCCCATGGCATACAGATTGATCAGCCTAGCGTTCTCTGCAAATAGCACAACTCTCACAAGATGGCACCCACTGTCTCACTCATTCCTCCAACACCCACCCACTCACCCACCCACTCACCATGGCATACCGCCCCATGGCATACAGATTGATCAGCCCAGCGTTCTCTGCAAATACCATGCTGCTCTGAGGTGGGGAGTGGGGAGAAGGAGAGGGGAGAGGGTAGTGGGGAGAGACGTCTAGGAACTCTGAAGGTTGATGAGTCCTGCGTTTTCTGCAAAGACCAATCGGCTCTGGGGTAGAGAAGTTGGGAATATGGCAGGTGGGAACAAGGCAGATGCGGAATGCGGAAGGTGCGAATAAGGCAGGTGGGGAAGCGGCAGGTGGGGAGACGGGTAATGAAACGACTCAGACCTCTTTAGGTTGATGAGACCTGCATTATCTGCAAAATCTGTCCGTTATCCCAATTATATGCTTCCCGCTCACACTGTTCCCCTTATCGCCTCTTAGTAACCGCCTACTCCCCGCCTCCCACCCTTGTCAACTTACTCACCTGTCTGGGCAGGTCTGCGCATCGGAAGTAGACAATGCAGCGCGCCGGCAGCCCATCCTTGCCTGCCCCTCACCCCCAGTAGTTTCATTCATAGCTTCCCACTCCACTGTCTCACCCTGTCTCACCCTGTCTCACCCTGTCTCACCCTGTCTCACCCTGTCTCACCCTGTCTCACCCTGTCTCACCCTGTCTCACCCTGCCTCACCCTGTCTCACCCTGTCTCACCCTGTCTCACCCTGTCTCACCCTGTCTCACCCTGTCTCACCCTGTCTCACCCTGTCTCACCCTGTCTCACCCTGTCTCACCCTGTCTCACCCTGTCTCACCCTGTCTCACCCTGTCTCACCCTGTCTCACCCTGTCTCACCCTGTCTCACCCTGTCTCACCCTGTCTCACCCTGTCTCACCCTGTCTCACCCTGCCTCACCCTGTCTCACCCTGCCTCACCCTGCATCACCCTGCCTCACCTGTCGGGGCAGGTCGGCGCATCGGAAGAAGAGAATGCAGCGAGCCGGCAGCCCATCCCTGCCCGCTCGCCCACTCTCCTGGGAAAGAGAAAAAAAAACATGGAAAAAAGAAGTGGAGAAACGAAGGAAAGAGTCAGTGACCAGGGCATCTCACAGGAATCATCGGATGGGCCAATTACCTGGAAATGACAATAAAAAAAACGTGCCGTGTGCCATTGTAACGAGGTGACTTTTGAGTCGACTCAAAAGTCACCCGGAAAGTCTAATTACCTGAAAGTGACAATAAGAAAACGTGTTTTGAGACATCTCGAAATTGTTTTTTAGGCGTCTCAAAACAGAAAACGGACAAGGGGATTACCTGAAAATGACAAACCGAAACCGTTCGAGGCACTTCTGAAACAGCAGGTTACCTGGTAATACGTCTCTATAGACTTGCTGAGAGTATGGTGTATGACAAACCGAACTGCAGAGGGGGAAGGGGAGAAAGAGGGAGGAGGAGAGAGTGACAAGACAAGAGCCTATGTTTCAATCCGTTTGTCGAACCCAAGATGCTGTATTATAAGCGAATGGAGAAAGGAACGGGGATAGGTAGTAGAACCCTTAAAGAACGCACTAAAAAACACATATGCGCATAGAAAAAAAAAAATATTGGCTTCAAATTAGCAGCAAAGTAAGCAGCAAGGCATGGCGTACCATCAGGCTTGTTTATTCCCATTCCAAAAGCCACCTGCCATGACACCAGCACAAACACCAGCAAACATATGCACACACATGCACACATGCACACATGCACACAACATGCAAATACACGGATGTTCACAATTGATAGGACCATGACCCACAAAACATTAAAGCCACCTGCCATAAATTACTACACCCAACATACACAAGTGAATGGGCAGATATTAACACACGCTTGTAACTCCCCTCTCCTCCATTTCCCTCTTTCCATCCCTTCCCCTGCGTCCCCTCTTTCCCCTCCTTCCCCCCTCTTCACCTCTTTCCTCTTTCCTCTCTTTCCCCCTCCCCTTTCCCCCCGTTCCCTCCCTCCCCCAGTCACTCACAGTGCCCACAATGACTTGCACTTCACCCCTGCTAACTTTCAACTAGTTTCCTTACCCAACTATACCCCCCTTCCCCCCTTTTCCCCCACCCCTCCCAACCCGGTCACTCACAGTGCCCACAATGACTTGCACTTCTCCCCTGCTCCAGCTGATAGGGAGGATTGAGGGAAGAAGAGACGAATTTGGAGGGCAATGGCGAGGCTTAGAAATAGGATGGGAGAGCGAGAATGCAACCATGTAGCCCTCTCATCCCAGTCGCTCACGCACAGTGCAGCTCCCCCCTTTTTGTACCTGACATGCACGAGTCACGGTGTGTGCAATGGGCCGTGTCCATGTCATGTCAGCATGGTAGCGTGCTGCTAGTAGCGCTCACCTCCAAAGCACACCCCGTGCAAATTCATGCACATTGTCCACCTACGTTGATGGTACTTTCAATAGTACCATGCTCAAGTACCAATTTTATAAGTACCATTATCAAAAGTACCATTTTCAAAAGTACCATCAACGTACCTCACCTCACATGCACGAGTGCGCGATGGGCTGGGTGACTGGACTGGGTCCATCCATGTCAGCATGGTTGCGTGCTGCTGCTGATAGACTCACTTACTCTCCACCACTTTGTTCTCTCATTCTATGTACCTTCTTTCGTACCTGACATGCACGTGGGTGCGATGGGATGGGTCCATGTCGGCATGGTAGTGCGCTGCTGGGATGCCCCGCAGTGACAGCTCCGATGCCACCTGAGAGTGATGGGACGGGGGAGGTGAGGACAAGGGTGGCGCAACAGACCAGACCAGTGATGCGAGAGGGGGGGAGAGAGAATGTACCCTGATTACAATCAATGAAGGACCGCTTGAGTTGAGAGAGAGAATGAGAGTGCGATGAGATGGGTCCATATTGGCATGGTAGTGTGCCGCTGGGATGCCACGCAGCGATAACTCCGATGCTGCCTGGGAGTGATGGGAGGTGGGAGAGGTGGGGACAGGGTGTGCCACAACAGGCATACGATGGGAGAGCGGGAGAGTCAGCAGGGGTGAGATGAGGATGGGTCCATGTCGGCATGGTAGTGTGTTGCTGGGATCCCACGCAGCGATAACTCCGATGCTGCCTGGGAACGATAGGAGCACAGAGGTGGGGAACGAAATGAAAGAAGCAGTAGATGTTGTCAGGGTCTTGTTTGAAGGAGCTTGCATGGTGTAAGGAGAGCGAATGAACCGAGCGAGAGACGCCACAGCAGACCATTAGACATGATCCAGCGAGCAGCAGTGGAGGAGAAAGTTTAGCGAAAGACCCTGACAGGTGTTGTCAGGGTCTGAAGGAGCTTGCATGGTGTAAGGAGAGCGAATGAACCGAGCGAGAGACGCCACAGCAGACCATTAGACATGATCCAGCGAGCAGCAGTGGAGGAGAAAGTTTAGCGAAAGACCCTGACAGGTGTTGTCAGGGTCTGAAGGAGCTTGCATGGTGTAAGGAGAGCGAATGAACCGAGCGAGAGACGCCACAGCAGACCATTAGACATGATCCAGCGAGCAGCAGTGGAGGAGAAAGTTTAGCGAAAGACCCTGACAGGTGTTGTCAGGGTCTGAAGGAGCTTGCATGGTGTAAGGAGAGCGAATGAACCGAGCGAGAGACGCCACAGCAGACCATTAGACATGATCCAGCGAGCAGCAGTGGAGGAGAAAGTTTAGCGAAAGACCCTGACAGGTGTTGTCAGGGTCTGAAGGAGCTTGCATGGTGTAAGGAGAGCGAATGAACCGAGCGAGAGACGCCACAGCAGACCATTAGACATGATCCAGCGAGCAGCAGTGGAGGAGAAAGTTTAGCGAAAGACCCTGACAGGTGTTGTCAGGGTCTGAAGGAGCTTGCATGGTGTAAGGAGAGCGAATGAACCGAGCGAGAGACGCCACAGCAGACCATTAGACATGATCCAGCGAGCAGCAGTGGAGGAGAAAGTTTAGCGAAAGACCCTGACAGGTGTTGTCAGGGTCTGAAGGAGCTTGCATGGTGTAAGGAGAGCGAATGAACCGAGCGAGAGACGCCACAGCAGACCATTAGACATGATCCAGCGAGCAGCAGTGGAGGAGAAAGTTTAGCGAAAGACCCTGACAGGTGTTGTCAGGGTCTTGTTTGAAGGAGCATGCATGGTGTAAGGAGAGCGAATGAACCAAGCGAGAGACGCCACAGGAGCTGTAGCATACCTGCTCTGCTCACACCTCACTTCTTCCCATCGTACCGGCTATCACCACAGCGTACCTGCTACCACCACAGCGTACCTGCTCGCACTCCTTGCGTGAGAAGCAGTAGACGATGCCTGAGTCCGAGGGAGCGTAGTGCTCCAAGATAAAGTGTGCAATAGACTCCACAGCAGGTGCTGCATACCTGCTCCAACCGCACTGTACCTATTCACACCGTACTTTCTCGCATCTTACCTGTTCCCACCGCACTGCACCTGCTCGCACTCCTTCCTTGAGAAGCAGTAGACGATGCCTGAGTCCGAGGGAGCGTAGTGCTCCAGAATGAAGCGTGCAATAGACTCCACAGCAGGTGCAGCACCAGGCGGCTTCTCACGCACCTGAGAGGGACGGAGGGAAAGGCATGGTTGGTTGGTACCGGTTTCAAATGAGCGTAGATAGTGCTGCAGAATGAAGTGAGCAATAGGCTCCACAGTAGATGCAGCACCTGGCGGCTTCTCCCGCACCTGACAGAGACAGAAGGGAAAGGTATGGTCGGTATCGATCGAGTCAGAGGGTGCGTGCATAGTGCTCCAGAATGAAGCGTGCAATAGACTCCACAGCAGATGCTGCGGCGGCTTCTCCCGCACCTGAGAGGGACACAGAGAGGGAAGGTATGGTTGGTACCAAGTCTAAAAGAAGGCGCATACAGTCACCTCCGACACAGTCACATCCAAAACACGCACCTCGTAGAAGAGATTGGGCCGGTTGACAGAGGAGACAAACAGCTCGCAGCGGCGCATTTGAAGCATGTCCCTCACGTCGTCCCTCACACGCTCTGTCGCTGTTGCCTTGAGGGGGAGAGGGATGTTGGAGAGGCAAAGGGGGTATTGATTTGATCAGGTAGGGAGGCTGGGACAAACAGCTCGCATCGCCTCATTTGAAGCATGTCCCTCACATCGTCCCTCACTCTCTCTGTTGTTGTTGCCTTGAAAGAAAGGGTGGAAAAGGGGAGACGGATGGACAGAGAGACGTTCATTTGAGTGACAACGCAGTGCGAGAGGCTGGAAGCAAATAAGAATCGGCTTTGCAGTAAGTCGCTCACAGCATCCCAGATGTCAATAAAAAAGGGGCAGGGGTGGTTGGGCGAAGAGTATATCATATAGAGAGGCAGCCTTGGGGGAATATTGTTTCTTCATGGGCGTCTTGGGGCAGCATGGGCGTCTTGGGGAACTGCTTCTTCAGAACTGAGAGATGAGCGTAGTCATAGTCATGCCTTCACTAGACAGAGACACGAATGACTGAAAGGGGAAGGGCGAGCACTCACTGTGAGAGCCAGCATGGGCGTCTTGGGAAACTGCTTCTTGAGCACTGACAGATGAGCGTAGTCATAGTCATGCCTTCACACTAGACAGAGAAACGCTAGTGACTGAAAGGGGAAGGGGAAGGGCGAGCACTCACTGTGAGAGCCAGCATGGGCGTCTTGGGGAACTGCCTTTTCAGCACTGACAGATGAGCATAGTCAGGGCAAGACACCCTTTCCCGGCCCCTCTCTCCTCCATCTTGGACACTGACAAGGAGAAAGTCAAGCACTCACTGCAAGGGCGAGCACTCACTGTGAGGGCGAGCATGGGCGTCTTGGGGAACTGCTTCTTGAGCACAGACAGATGAGCATAGTCGGGGCAGGGGACCCTTTCCCGCCCCCTCCCCCCTCTTGGCACTATGAGGTGAGGGCAGCACCACTATGAGAGCAGCACTCACTGTGAGGGCAGCACCACAATGAGAACAGCACTCACTGTGAGAGCGAGCATGGGCGTCTTGGGGAACTGCTTTTTCAGAACTGAGAGATGAGCATAGTGGGGCGGGGGGGCATGAGACCAGCACACGGTTTAACTCATTATTCTCATAATCTTCTTTGACTGAGGAAGAAGCGGTGACTCACTGTGAGGGCGAGCATGGGCGTCTTGGGGAACTGCTTTTTAAGCACTGAGAGATGAGCGTAGTCAGGGCGGAAATCATGGCCCCACTGGCTGCAGCAATGCGCCTCCTGCAGGGGGAAAGTGGAGAGAGGGGGAGCAAGGAAGATGGGTGGGGGAAGTGGCGGTGAGGGGAGTGAGGAGCATAGTCAGGGCGGAAGTCGTGGCCCCACTGGCTGCAGCAATGCGCCTCCTGAGAAGCGAAAAACACCAGGGGAGGAAACCCGGTAGAAGGTGAGGGGAAGTGGCTGGGATGGGGGGAAGTGCTGCGTTGCCTAATCGGGAAGAGCCTCCCAGCAGCGTGGCACGGCACTTGTCCAGCTTCGACTTGGACCGCTTGCTGCTCGCTCAGAAATTGTTGGTTACCACTCACATCCATAGCGAGTAGACTCAGTCTCCCAGCAGCGTGGCACTTGTCCAGCTTCGACATGAACCGCTTGCTCCTTGTGGTTACCATGTGTGCATGGTTCTGTTCCTTGTGGCTTTTGCGTGCCTGCACTGACGTCTATTGCAATGAGACTCAGTCGCCCAACAGCATGGCACTTCTCCAGTTTGGACATGAACCGTTTACTCCTCGCCACCTTCTCAGGAGTCACGTACAGCAGCTTCAGTAAAGTGGGGTTACCATGTGGTTACCACATCTATACCTAGTACTCACATCAATCGCAATGAGACTCAATCGCCCAGCAGCGTGGCACTTCTCCAGTTTGGACATGAATGGACCGCTTGCTCCTTGAGGTTACTGTGAGTCTGTGTCCACGTGTGATTACCCCATCTAAACCCACTCACATCGATTGCAATTAATGAAAGTCTCCCAGCAGCGTGGCACTTCTCCAGTTTGGACATGAATCGCTTGCTCCTCGCCACCTTCTCAGGCGTCACGTACAACAGCTTCAGCCCTGCTGCAGCAGCTGCTGCTGCTGCTTCTTCTGCTCTCCCCTCACCTTCTCCTTCCTCTCTTTCCCCCCCATACTCTCCTCCCCACTCTTCCTCCTCCTCCTCGCTCTCCGCCTCCTCGTCGTCGCCTCTCTTCCGTTTTCCTTTCCCTCTTCCCCCTCCTCCCGCTCTCCCCCTCCCTCTCCCTCGACTCGGTTTTCCTGCCGCGCTCTTCCCTCTCCCTCTCCCCCCTCCCCCCTTCGCACTCCCCCGTCCCCTTCCCCTTCCCCCTCCGCCACTCCCCCCCACCCCTTCCCCATGCTCCAAAGTATTATAGATTGCCCTTTCCTCCTCTTTGGACGTTGTAGATGTGAGCATGGCCGCTGGCACGCCAAAGCCTGACAGGCACATGACCTGTGTGGTTGGGGGGAGGAGAGAGGGAAGTAGGTGGATGTTCAGTAGCCCAGAGTATTGTAAATCGCCCTTTCCTCGTCTTTGGACGTTGTAGATGTGAGCAAGGCCGCTGGCACGCCAAAGCCTGACAGGCACATGACCTAGTGGGGAGAGGAGAGGGTGAGGACAAGGGGGAGGGGAGGTGACTTTTGAGTCGACTCAAAAGTCACCTCGTTACCATGGCACACGACTCAAAAGACTTTTGAGTCGACTCAAAAGTCACCTCGTTACCATGGCACACGACTCAAAAGACTTTTGAGTCGACTCAAAAGTCACCTCGTTACCATGGCACACGACTCAAAAGTCACCTCGTTACCATGGTACATGACTCAAAAGACTTTTGAGTCGACTCAAAAGTCACCTCGTTACCATGGCACATGACTCAAAAGACTTTTGAGTCGACTCAAAAGTCACCTCGTTACCATGGTACATGACTCAAAAGATTTTTGAGTCGACTCAAAAGTCACCTCGGCACGCCAAAGCCTGACAGGCACATGACCTAGTGGGGAGAGGAGAGGGTGAGGGCAAGGGGGAGGGGAGCAAAGAGAGGGGCTTAGAATAGATCGTCCTTTCCTCGTCCTTGGAGGTTGTAGAAGTGAGCATGACAGCCGCCACTCCCCCCCACCCCTTCCCCATGCTCCAGGGTATTATAGACCGCCCGTTCCTCGTCTTTGGAGGTGGTAGATGTGAGCATGGCTGCCGGCACACCAAAGCCCGACAGACAAATGACCTGTGTACGTGTGTGGGGGGGAGAGCAAGCAAGAGAGCCAGGCAAGAGCAGCGTGATCACCCAAGAGAGAGAGAGAGCAGAGCAGAGAGAGCCCTCTGCTAATCACCCACCTGGTCGTGGATGAGAGCCAGCAGAGGGCTGACGACCAGGGAGATGCCTGGGGAAAGAAGCGCAGGTAACTGGTAGCAGAGGCAGTGGCACCGCATGCATTGACTCTCTCTTTGTACAGCCACACACTATATTGTGATCACTCGCCTGATCATGAATGAGAGCCAGCAGAGGGCTGACGACCAGGGAGATGCCTGGGGAGAGAAGAGCTGGCAGCTGGTAGCAGAGGGGGTCACACCAGCACACACCCTAGACAATCACGCTACATACATTGACACTACGTACAGCCACACACTATATTGTGATCACTCACCTGGTCGTGGATGAGAGCCAGCAGCGGGCTGACGACCAGGGAGATGCCTGGGGAGAGCAGCGCAGGCAGCTGGTAGCAGAGGCTCTTACATTGTGTACAGAACCACATCACGCATAATCACACTGCATATAAGCACACTACAGTACCTACCTGGTCGTGAATGAGCGACAAAAGTGGGCTGACGACCAGGGAGATGCCTGGGGAGAGCAGCGCAGGCAGCTGGTAGCAGAGGGAGTCACACCAGCACACACCCTACACAGTTACGCTAGTCACACTACATGCAATCACATTCTATTGTAATCACTCACCTGGTCGTGGATTAGCGATAGCAGAGGGCTGACCACAAGGGAGATGCCTGGAGAGAGAAAAGTAGCGTTGGCAGCTGGTAGCAGAGGGAGAGGCACACACACACCCTACACAGTCACGCTACATACAATCACATGGCATGTTATTGATACTCGCCTGGTTGTGGACGAGAGAGAGCAGCAGGCTGACAGCAAGGGAGATGCCTGGAGAGAGCAGCGCAGATAGCTGGTAGCAGAGGGGGTCAGACCAGACCAACACACACCTTACTCAAGCACACTGATACAATCACACTTTCTGATTTCACACAAAATACAATCACACACCTGGTCGTGTATGAGCCACAGCAGCGGGCTGACGACGAGCGAGATGCCTGCAGAGAGCAGCGCAGGCAGCTGGTAGCAGAGGGAAATCAACTGCATCCATGTACACTTGGTATAATCTCACAACACACAAGGACACACCTGATCGTGGATGAGCGACAGCAGAGGGCTGACGACCAGGGAGATGCCTGGAGAGAGCAGCGCAGGCAGCTGGTAGCAGAGAGAGACACACACACTACACAGTCACGCTACATATAATCACACGACATGTTATCTCACTCACCTGGTCGTGAATAAGTGAGAGCAGCGGGCTGACGACGAGGGAGATCCCTGGGAGAGCAGCGCTGGCAGATGATAGCAGAGGGAATCAAACTGCATACACCTAGTATAATCACAGCACATACTATCACGCGTTCTTGTAATCACACCTGGTCGTGAATGAGAGAGAGAGCAGCGGGCTGACGACCAGGGAGATGCCTGGCGAGAGCAGCGCTGGCAGCTGGTAGCAGAGGAAACCACACTGCACGCATTCACAGTACGTAATGAAAGCAGTGTATGCTGTCTCACACACACACACACACACACACACACACACACACACACACACACACACACACACTAGATGAAGACTCACCCACTGTCTCACCTGGTCGTGGATGAGCGACAGCAGAGGGCTGACGACAAGGGAGATGCCTGGAGAGAGCAGCGCAGGCAGCTGGTAGCAGAGGCTCTTGCCTCCCCCTGCTGGCATGATCACAAACACGTCTCGCTTGCACAACACCGCGTTGATGATCTGATGAGGGGAGTGGGAGGGAGGAGCGAGTGGAGAGTGAAGAGAGGAGAATGATAAGGTCAGTGCGGTGGTAGGGAAGAAGGGCAGAGGCGCTGGCAGCTGGTAGCAGAGGCTCTTGCCGCCCGCCCTGCCGGAATGACCACAAACACGTCCCGCTTGCACAGGACTGCATTAATGATCTAAAACAGGGAGGGAGGGCAGGGTAGATCCTGTACTTGCCTGCCCCCCAGCCTGGCCCCATACCGTCCCTGCTTCCGAGCCTGACCCCTTACCTCCCTCTGCTGCGATCTGAACCGTCCGATCCCAAACACATCTCGCCCAATCGCAGCCACCTGAGCGTCCCACTCAAAGGGGGCTTGCCACCTCGCCACCGATCCCAACCCTGCTGCACCTGCTCCTCCTCCCGCCCCTCCTCCTGCCCCTGCTCCTCCTGCTCCTCCTACTCCTCTTGACCCCCCCACACTCACTGCTACCCCTTGCTCAGGTTTTGCACCACCACTATCGTTCCTATCACTGGTATTATTGCTCTCACTGACAACTCCGTTATTAATATTCGCGTTATTAGCAGCAGCCCACGAGGCTGCAGCCGCAGCCGACGCCTCTAGTCTGGAGTTAATCTCCTCGCGTCGCTTAATTAGCTGCTCCTGCTCCTCTAACAGCGACTCGACCTCCTCCTGTATTTTCTGCAGACGCGCTTCGACGTCTTCCCGCTCATCCTCGAGCTCTAGCGCCAATCGCGGGTCCATCGGCCGGCCGCAATCGCCGGCGGAATTCACGGCGGGATCAGCGGCGGAATTGCCGGCGCGATCATCGGCGCGATCACCGGCGCCGCAGCTCGGGGAAGAAATGCGCTCGCCGCGCTCGAGGCGCTCCCATTGGTCATCGCTCAGGTCAATAAAATCGTCCATTGTAAGCGCTTGAACGATCAGTATATCCTAATGTCATGAACAATCGAATCTCACTCCAAATCATCACGCGAAAGTCCCCAAATGCTATCAAATGACTGGCGAAGTTAACGGTCACATCTCGTCAGTCAGGCGGATAGCGTCGTAATGAACTCTCGTCAGGACTGCACAACCTTGAGGGTAGTCTAGTGTACACCGCATTCAGCATTACCTCTCCTCAGTCAGACGGACTGCATTCAGCATTATCTCCTGCTTTTCTCAGGACTGCATAACCTTGAGGGTAGTCTAGTACGGTGTACACTGCATCAATGAACTATATTGCTTGCTAGTGCTTTGCTAGCTACCAGTACGTGGCTTCTTGCTAGGCTATGAACTGGTGGAACTTCTCATCACTACTGTGATTAGGTGGTGTGATTAGGTGCACAGGCACAGCAGGCTGATGGCTGGTGCATCTGACATGGCCAGAGAGTTTTGTATCAAAACAGGGTAGGTACAAACAGGCTACATATCTCAATCAATCAAAAGTTGAATTATAGCATGAACTAGTGGGACTGCTGCTGGCACATCACCTGCAGCCAGCCAAGCTTCAACCAGGAATCAAAGAGAGTGTTGCTCTGGCTGCAAACGCAAACCAGTCAGTTACATTGGATGCAGCCACGTACCAGAGACCAGGCAGGCAGCTAAGAAGTCAAACGACGTGTTGTTAGAGTAAGCAGTCACACAGACAGAGAATGCCACATGGGTTTAAAAAAGGGCTGGTTTGACCGAGACGGGCAGCAATCACATCATGTGTAACCACGTGCCAGACCAGGCAGCTGATAAGACAAATGACGTGTTGTTAGAGCAAGCAGTCGCACAGACAGAGAGTGCCACATGGGATTGGGAAATCTCGGCTTTGACTGACATGAGCAGCAGTTACAAGCAGCAGTCACATTGCATAAGCAGTTACAAGCAACAGTCACATCACGTGCAGTGACATCACATGCAGTCTCATCAGATGCAGTCAAATCACATGCAGTCACATCACATGCAGTCACATCACATGCAGTCTCATCAGATGCAGTCACGAGTATCAGTCACATCACATGCAGTGACATCACATCACATGCAGCCACATGCCACACCAGAAAGCTGAGTCGTCAAATGGCATGGCATGCAGTAAAAGCAGCAGTCACGCAGCCACGTACCACACCAGGCAGCTGAGTTGTCAAATGGCATGCAGAAAAAAGCAAGCAGCCACAAAAAGAACGTTTCAAGTCACGAGCGGCAATCACATCACATGCACTCACCTGCCAGACCAGGCAGCTGGGGAATTAATTGACATGCACTGAACACAAGCAGTCATACCGATGAAAAGGAGGGGAATGCAGATTGCATGGGCGAGAACAGATGATGGGCGAGTGGGGAAAAGGTGAGGGAAGGGCAGGGGGGATGAGGACAGCTAGGTTGCGGAAGAGGGGAGGGGGGTGAGAGAGATGAGGTAGTGAGGGGGCAGTGGCAGGGGAGGGGAGGGAGATGAGGGGTGGATAGCGATGGAGACGAAGCATGAGCGGAGGAAAAGTTGAGGTATGGGTGTTGGAGAGGGGATGAGGGGTGAGTCAGAAAAGGAAGAAGAGGGGAGGGGGGAAGAGGGGGAACGAGGGGTGAATCGAGGGGAGCTGAGGGTGGGCGTGAAGGAAGAGAACATTAGAGCGCAACAGTGATGAGAGTGGGGGGTTGGGAGGGTGACTGGAAAGAGGGGGGAATGAGCGGAGAATGGGGAACGAGGGGTGCGTGGTGAAGGAAGAGAACAATAGGGAGGGGGAGGAAGGGGGGGGCGGGGGGGGGAGAAGGGAAATGGTAGCTTCGCCCTTTCGCCAGTCCTCTCCGTCCATATCCCCTCTTCTCCCCTCCGCTCCGCCCACCTTCGTCTTTCTTCTCCCCTCTGCTCACCTCCCCTCCGCTCCCGTCCTCCCTTTTTCCCGTCTTGCGTCCAGACTGGGACCGTCGACGCGCACTGAAGTCCTGGAAGATGAGGGGAGCGTGGAAAGGGGAGGGGAAAAGCGGAAAGGGGAGCGGAAAAGCAGACAGGGGAGAGAAAAAAACGGAAATGTAGGGGGAAGGGGAAAGTACAGAGGCTTCCAACTTTCTCCAGTCCTCTCCGTCATTTCCTGCTCTCGATGCTCTGAAGTCACGAGGGGGAAAGCGGAAAGGGGAGGGGGAAGGGGAAATTACCGTCACCTCCCCTCGCCTCCTTTTCCGCGTCTTGCGTCCAGGATACCGTCGACGGTGTGAAGTTGACGAAAGGCGCTGTCTACTCGACGAGACCCGCTACGTTACTGATGCGTACGAAATCGACGATAGCAATTCGTCCGCCGACAAACGTCCGCATTACGCAAGTAAATAGAAGTAAAATCTGGTGCGTGCAACTTGAACTGTCTTGCCGAAAATGCGATATCTATTCAGATCTGATACTGCTAGCACGCCAATTGAAGCGTAAATCGATTATAGGTAAGCACGACCGACGGCGTGAGCGACACTTGCTACATGAAATAGTTCGCTGCCATGAAAAGATGTACTTAGATCGACTACCGCGCTGAGATCTATCTTCACAAAAAAATAACTATCGAAACTAAGAAGATGCGTGGCGAAACTAGTGCAAGTCACATGTAATACATCTGGTCTGGACAATGACGGGTGAAGGGAGGTGTGGCAGGTGCGGAGCACCAGGTCCGGTGGTTGTGCCAGGGTGTCAAAAACAACTTCATTCCATTGGTTCACGTAATTTTCTTCTCATCCATACATTGTTATTCCAGCTGCCCGAGGCAGGTTCAGCTGAACTTTCCCTAAACCAAAGCCGTCCCGCACCTCACGCAAAACTCACGCGGATCAGCTAAAAAAAACTCATGGCCCAACTAAAAAATAGCGCCACGTCAACCACCTCCTAGAAAGCTCGAGCCTGCCCTTGCGTTGCACACAAGCATGCCCAACAAAGCTCCCCAACCACCAATACTCGCCTTTGGCAAACGCGTTTGCATACGGACAAGTCAATCAGATTTGTATAACCCGAAAGTGCAAAATGAATGTGCTGTACAACTTGAGTTGAACTCGGGGGCACAATTTCAGCCCTCTCAAAATGTTCTCCACGCGCCGCTCAGACGAATGTCCCCTCCCTGCCTGCCGCAATCTCGCCGCGGCATTTCATTGACTCATGACACATGCCACCACACCTCCTCACCGTTGCGGTCGCCTGCACCACCACCATCCATCCTTTCACATCACACTCAACTTTATCGCACCGCGCGCCCAGCCTGGTGTCAGGATCCAGAAATTCCCTCCCACACAGTTCAGACCACACTAATGCCGCGCCCCGTCCACCGCACTGCACCTTGGTATATGCTGTTTTATTGTATCACTCCTACCTGCATTCACCTATCACTTTTGGGTTGAAGAGCTCCGAGTCAAAAGTGAATGGACGGTAGGAGTGAATGCAGTTCACCTACGCTAGGTGGCTGCAGGTAGGAGTGAATGCAGTTGCTTAAGACGTACCGCGACCGCCGCCGTTCAGAATGGCTGCCGCTGAATTCGTTCATCCACTGATCAGCAGCACGCTTTCCTTCTGCTTCAGCAACTACCTTCCGCTTGCTCCTCTCTCGAGCTTCATCCGCTCCATATAATCTAGCGATGTTGCCTTTGTAGCGTTCTTTTCCTTCCTTATCAACTTTGGAAGGGTTTTCAAAGAGCTCCAATCTAATGAGCTCCTGAAGCTACCTGAAGTACACGGTGAAGCTCGAAGCACGAGGCGGCGTTGAGTTAGGGGTTGGGGTGGGTGGGTAGGTGTCGTGAGGAGCGAGCTGCCAAGTGTTTCGAGCCGAACCGTGTGCTGACGGATTTTCGCGGCAACATATCACCGCGACAAGATAATGATCTCCACTGCGAGTTCTTCGCAGCAATGTCTCCGCTCTTCAAGAGCCTCGGGAGCTTCGAAGTTTCCCATGAGATCCGAAGTGGCGAGGACCCGAAGGTCAAGATCCGGCACGGCTCGCGGCGACCGTCGCCGCGATAGACGCTTCATCGCCGTGTAAGATTCGACGTGGCGAGGACCCGAAGGTCAAGATCCTGCACGGCTCGCGGCGACGTCACCAACTTGTGAGGTTAGTCACGCTGGGTCATTGTCGCTGGTTCCTTTTTTTGTTCCCTTCTTTAGTTTGGCTCTGAGTGACTTCGGTTCTTCTTGTTACTAATCCTTGGTTGCCTTCTTCTTTTCAGACGCAAGCCGTCTTTATGACGGAAGCACTCAAGACCAACGGGTGTCAAGAACGCCTCCAACGGGTTTTAAGAACGCCTCCAACGGGTTTCAAGAACGCCTCCAACGGGTTTCAAGAACGCCTCCAACGGGTTTTAAGAACGCCTCCAACGGTTCGCCACCGCCGCCAGTGGCGGACTTGTGGACTGGGTTGAGGTAAGTAAATAGAGTTGGACTTTAGTTTAAATTGTTTTTTCTTCTTCTTCTTCTTTTGAGCGGTACTGAAGTATTGTTTTTTTTTTACTTTTTACTTTTTTCAGACCCAAGCCAAGCTCGACGCGGACGGTGCTTCAAGCTCGAGATTCTACAGAAGTCGACCTGAAGCCGATCTCACCCCGCCGCGAGGGGCGAATCGTCGCCGTTTGAGAGGCACTCATGCATGAAAGTGGCGAGGACTCGAAAGGTCGCCACGGATCCGGATCACGGTCGTCACGGAAGGAAGTCAGGATCCGCCACGGCTCGCGGCGATCGTCGCTGATCGTGTTGGGTAAGTGAATCATTGGCCTTAGTTTTGTTGCCTTCCTTAGTTTTGCACTTAGGTACTTTGGTTCTTCTTTTTACTAATCCTTTGTTTGCTTTCTCTTTTTCAGACATAAGTCATGCCGGAAGCGGATAGGAGCTTCGACCTCCGGACGGGTCGCACTCAAGCATACCGGAAGAACGCCTCCCGCCTTTGGCGCTTTGAGGACCTGAAAGGCGTCTCCAACTGTTGTCATGACCGTCGCCTATTGTTCGCCAACCGTCGACTTGGGGTACCGTAAACCAAGATGGACTTTGATCAAACGTCGTTCTTCTTTCTTTCATTCTTCTTTGCGTAGTACTAACGTGTTGCCTTTTTCCTTTTCAGACCGTCATTGGTGACGTCATTGGTGACCTCATTGACGACATCATTGACGACCTCAATGACGACCTCATTGACGACCTCATTGGCGACCTCATTGACGACATCATTGGCGACCTCATTGGCGACCTCATTGACGACATCATTGACGACCTCATTGGCGACCTCATTGACGACATCATTGGCGACCTCATTGACGACATCATTGACGACATCATTGGCGACCTCATTGACGACATCATTGGCGACATCATTGGCGACCTCATTGACGACCTCATTGGCGACCTCATTGACGACCATCTCACAAGATAGCGAGAGGAGCTGCATTGCGAGAGGGTACGCCGAGCTGCATTCAAGCATTCAAGGTCGCCTCGCCTCCCTTCGCCAATGACGGACTTGTCGCCAATACGTAAATCACTTCAGACTGTTTGCTTCAAGCAAACTCGGTTTTTCTTTTTTTTACAAGTACTAATATGCTGCCATCTTTTTTTTCCAGATCTCGGCGGCCTTCTTGGCGACAGTCATGACGACCGTCTTGCCGACCGTCATGACTCGGAAGCTCCGTCAATGACGCAGTCACGATCGTCGCCACGCTCGCCGTCGCAGTCACGATCGTCGCCACGCTCGCCGTCGCAGTCACGATCGCCGTCGCAGTCACGATCGCCGTCGCTGTCGCCGTTGCTCCTGACGCTCACCGTTGACTCGAAAGCTCCTACACAGTCAATGGTGCAGTCACGATCGCCGTCGCCGTCACGCTCGCCGTCGCCGTTGCTCCTGACGACGAAGCTGGCAGCAGTCATGGCGACCGTCGCCAATGACGGGCTTGTCGCCAATGGTTGGGGTACGTAGATCTCTTCCAAGTGTTGCTTCTAGTAACTTCGGTTTTTTTTTTTAGCAAGTACTAATATGCTGCCTTCTTTTTTCAGATCTCAGCGGCCTTCTTGGCGACACTCATGGCGACTGTCATGACTCGAAAGCTCCTACCGTCATGACTCGAAAGCTCCTACCGCTCCTACCGTCATGACTCGAAAGCTCCTACCGTCATGACTCGAAGGCTCCTACCGTCATGACTCGAAAGCTCAATGACGCAATGACGCAGTCACGATCGCCGTCGCCGTTGCTCCGCCAAGACAAGTCCCCCCGCTGGAACGCTGCTGCCGACAAGTCCCGTCGCTGCCGCTCGTCTCCGTCATGCTCGCCGTCGCTGCCGCTCGTCTCTGCCAAGACAAGTCGTCACTGGTAAGCTCGTCGCTGTACTTTTCCAATCGCTTTTCTTTCCCGTTTTCTGAGGCGCAGTACTAACCTGATTCCGTTTTCTGATGCAGACCTTTTGGCGGCCGAAGCTGGCCGAAGCTGGCCAAGTCAATGACGCCACGTCCCGCTGACTCCAAACGCCAAGTCAATGACGCCAAGTCCCGCTGACTTCAAACGCCAAGTCAATGACGCCAAGTCCCGCTGACTTCAAACGCCAAGTCAATGACGCCAAGTCCCGCTGACTTCAAACGCCAAGTCAATGACGCCAAGTCCCGCTGACGGCCTCTCCCGTCGCTGCCGCTCCGCCAAGACAAGTCGTCACTGGTAAGCACTTTGGTGATTCTCTCCTTTGAAGCCTCGCTTGTCTTTGGCGGCTTCGCTTCGTTCCGTGTTCGCTTCGCTAACGTGTTCGTTTCTTCCTTCCTGCAGAACCTGACCACAAAGACGCGGATGGCGAAACGCGGTGACGCGTGGCGACGTATGGCGAAGGACGAAGCGCGTCTCACGGCGGTTCGCTACCGTGACCGCGCCACTGACCGTCACTGCGCTGCTATGGTGCATTCCTTCCTTCGTTTCCTTCGTTCGTTTCCTTCAAGGTTTTCGGTTCTAATGTTGTTGCTGTCTTCCTGCAGAGCGCACGAACGACTTACGGCGGCGCGTAGCACGGGCGGACATGACGGGCGGCGCGTCTCACGGGCGGATGGCGCGTCTCGCGGGCGGATGCCGCGTCTCACGGGCGGATGCCGCGTCTCACGGGCGGACGGCGCGTCTCGCCGGCGCGTGGTCGTATTTTCTCGTTTTTGTATTTGTTTGCTTCGTTTTCCTCGTTATTCCTCGTTGTTTTCTCGTTTTTCTCTCTGCCATGGTATCATGATGGGTTGAGTCGCCATGTGAGCAGGTTGTTAGCTTAACGAGGATTCTGCGGGCGTTTCGCGGGCGGACGGCGCGTCTACCGAGGCGCTTGGCGGCGCTTCCATTTCCTTTTCCTCGTTTCTGTTACGGTATGTTCGTTCCGTTTTCTTGCAATTTCTCTCTCTGGTTCTGTATTTCTCTATGCCGCGATATCATGACGTGTGGCAACGCCATGTGAGCAGGCTCGCAGATCTTAGGCAAGAAGAAAGCTTCACACGAGGAGTCTGCGGGGTTGTGCGAGCGGGGTTGGGGCAGGGCGGCAGCGGAGAGGGAGGGTAGCCCCAGCCCGATCTCTCCGCTCCCCCTCCCGCTCCACTGCCCCTTCCGGCACTGCACCGATCGACTATCTTCACCGACTTCCGGCACTGCACTGACTATCTTCACCGACTTCCGGCACTGCACCGACTATCTTCACCGACTTCCGGCACTGCACTCCCTTGGTAATATGTCATTCCGGTTTCTTGCTTTGGTTTTTTTCCAGATTCTAACTTGTTCGTGTGTGATCTCCTTTAGCGCAGGAGCAGCAAGAGTGGGAGCCATGGCGCTGGTGGCGCGACGGGAGAGCGAGTTCAACTTCAAGCTTCACGTGGTACGCTGTCAATTCCGGTTTACCTTTGTTTTCTTTTTCAGATTCTCACTTCGTGCTTCGTGCTTGTTTTGTGCTCTCCGTTTTAGTGCAGCTCGCTGCGTGGAAGCGGCAGGAGCTCACGGCGCTGCCAGCAACGACTCATCCACGTGGTACGCTGTCAGTTCCAGTTTCCTTGTATTTTTCTTCCCGGATTCTAACTTCGTGCTTCGTGCTTTGGGTTAGTGCAGCTCACGGCGTGGAAGCGGGAGCAGGAGCTGACGGCGCTAGCTGCAACGACTCATCTTACGTGGTACGCTGTCAATTCCAGTTCCCTTGTATTTTTCTTCCCAGATTCTAACTTCGTGCTTCGTGCTTTGTATTAGTGCAGCTCACGGCGGGAGCTGACGGCGCTAGCTGCAACGACTCATCTTACGTGGTACGCTGTCAATTCCGGTTTCCTTATTTTTTTTTCTACTGGATTCTAACTTGTTCTTTTGTGCTCTGTGTCAGTTAGAGAGGACAACGGCGGGAGAGCGGGAGCCAACGGCGGGGACGACACGACGGTGCTGGCGGGGACAACGGCGCTGGCGGCGAGGAGGGAGGTCCAAGCTGCGTGGAGCGTCGTCCGCGGAATTTTGACCCCCCCTCCCCTCCCCTCCCCATCCCCCTCCCCTTTGCAGATTCGGGTTTGGGTGGGTTTGGGTGGGTGTAGTTAGGCCACGCGCGCGGGGGGTGGGGTTGGTTGGTGTCAGGTATTTTTGTACAGGTGCGATTTCCGTGCCTCTTCGGGCAACTCTTCTGACAACCTGGCATCTCTTCAACCGAAGATCCCAGCGGAATGAGGTCGACGGAATCGAGTTGCCAGGGTCGACGAGGGGGGTCGACGGACAGGGGTCTGACGAGGCGGGCGAGTGACACGCGTGCGGGCCCGCCAGCCTAGCCCAGGGCTGGGCCGGGCGCACGACCGCCGCCCCGCGGCCCCGCCTCGAACGTGAACAGCGGCCCACGTTACCGGGTGGGGTCGGCGAACTGGCGACACCTCGCGCGTGGGAAAATTACCCTCGCGCGAAGGCAGCCCACGCGCGCCACCTGCCCGCGAGGTCCTAGTAACCCATCGCGGCCTGCCCGGACGGGCAGGCGAGGGCTGGGCGAAATGTCGGGGCCCCCTCGGGACGCTCGACAATTTCGCGACCCGTTGCGGCGTCGCCACGTGTTCGCTCGTGGTTTCGCATCGGGCGCATGCGATATTTTGTCGTTGCGAGCGAAAAAAAAAGGCCGCGACGCGGACAACGAGGTTCGTTACCCACTACGAAATCGACACGTGTTGTGCGAATGCACGCTCATCGCGCACGCGATATTGCGTCCCCTCGCCGACCTGAGACATTGGACGCGAGGTCGACGCCCTGCCGAAGCGGAGTCGGACCACCTGTTCTACTTGCGCATGCGCCCTCAGAGCCCTGTCGAGCCAGGCCCCACACCCTTGGGCGACGCTGAACGGGCATGCGGTGGGCCACCGTCTCCTTTTCTTTGTGGATGGTGGCCTCGCTCCCCATTTTCCGCATCTCGTTTCGCTCCTCCTCTTCCTTTTTTCCTCCTTTCGTTGCTCTGTGCGGCTATCGTGATATCGCTTCCCCTTAGTCGGTATGGACCCTAGCCCTGACCCCGATAACTCGGCGCCGACTTCGGCTGACTTCCCTCTTCGTCACCAAATGGGTACTGGTCTCAGCTTCACTTTAGAGTGGGAAGACTTCTTAGTTCTTCGCAACCACAAGATAGAGTTCAACGACGGATGTTTGGATTTCGGCATCAGAAACGACTCGAGTAGTCGGCGCCGACTTAACTAGGTTCGGTGTCCACGCAGTGGCCTTCTGATTTACGTCGACGGGCGCGGTATTAGGCATAGACCCCCTCCAGGAACGCCGACCACCTTAGGAGTCGTCGACCACACGTAGTCGCCCTCTGTACTTTTCGGCGTTTGCTCAACCGCCCTTGTATGAACCTCCTTGCCCAATCGTGCCGTCAGGTTCGCGTGGTCCCGACTTGGGATCGAGAACCAGCGTTTGTGGGTTCTCGACGTCGGCACGCTTCGATCGGCCATGCGGCTGGCCGACCATTCATGCTTTGCTGCGGTTTTCAACGCCGACATCGCCGCTATCCCGTTAAGAACGATGTAAGCTGTTTCACCTTTGATCAGTTGTCGTTGTTTAGTGTCGCGACATCGCGTGGTGATGTGATCGACGTCGTCGCGAATTGCATGTGCAGCCTCGGTGCGCTTCCAGGAACGCACTGCAGCGTCATTGCCATCCTATACCCTGGAGATCTGTTGAAGGCTGAGTAACAGGTGTGCAGGACCTCAATCCGGCACATCGACCCGCAGACCGGTAAAGGGTATCACCGCGACGAGGCCGCCCGCGTGCTAAAGTAAGTGTTGAATTGTCGTCGATGACCCGCTTGTTAGTCGGCGACCCAGGGTATCACACGCTGACCGCCTCCCCCCACCGCGGTGCTTCAGGTTCTTCCGCACGGCTGTCCTGGCCGAGCTGGGGCGTCCCGGTAGGATGTGAGACTGGGCGCCGCCATCACAAGCAGTGGTGGAGGTTAGGCTGGCCGATTGCGACCACCCTATCCGCGATGTGAGTTGCAAGGGGGGGGTGCCCGTTTCTGAACGCTCCGCTCATCATGTTCCGTGCTTGTATGCAGAAAGTGCCGGGCACAGTGTCGGACGGGCATGTCGGTGCCGGCGTGCTTTCCGCGACGTCGTTCGGGTGGGTAGCAAAACAGATCGACCATCTGACAGGCGAGAAGGGTCGTCGTGGGGTGAGCATCGAGAGCATCGGGATGAAGATGCTGAAGGCTTTGCGCGACAGCATGGTTGAGTACGTCGGCAAGGTCATTGCCGTGAAACGCACCGCGACGCCGACTTCTCAAGCCGCCGGACCCGCCGACAATGCCATAGATGACGACGTCGCGGAAGGACAGAAGGCGCCCCAAGGTGCAGTTGCCGCCCAGCATCATGGGAACGCGAGGGTGCATGGGGAAGGTGGAAACGGTGGAGGAGGCGACGCAGAGGCAGGTGCAGGAAGGTCGGAAACGGAGAAGTCGGAGTCGTCGTCGGAGTCGGAGTCGGAGTCGGAGTCGGAGTCGGAGTCGGAGGAGGAAGACGAGGCGGTGAAGCGTAAGGACGAGGAGGAGTATGAGGAGGAGGAGGAGGAGAATAAGGACGAGAATGGTGAGAAGTGGGAGGGAGGGAAGGATGAGGAGGGGGGGGATGAAGAGGTGGAGTTCGTGGTGGAGTATGTAGAGGGTACGGTTGAGGCGGGAGCGGCGGAAGAGGCGGTGGGGTCGGCAGATCAGGGGAATGAGGAAGAGAAGGATGACGGCGCGGGAAATGCTACGAGGTCGGCAGATGTGGGGAAGGAGAAGGGCGAGGTCGGCGTGGAGGCACCTGGAAATGGCCAGGATGAGGCGGCCTGCGAAGGAGGTGGGAAGGTGTCGGTCGACGCCGGCGAAGGGCCGAACAACACGGGCGAGCAGGAGGCCGGGGAAGCACCTGGTCGGCAGGGCCCAGAACTGGACGACGTCGAGGTTCTGCGACGGGAAAACTGGTTGTTGCGGGCGGAGAACGCTCGGCTGGCGTCGTTGCTCGATGCGGAGCGGTCCCGGCTGGACAGTTTTTTTGTTGGGGTCAGTCGACTCGTCGACCACGTTAAAGGGTTGGCCGAGCAGGTCGACGACACCGACAAGTATGCCGCGGAACAGCTGCGAAACGCGACGGAGGCCATGTCGAAGACCATCACGGGCAACATCTCCGGCAGCTTTGACGAAGCGTGGAAGTCGATGAAGACTTTCGCGGAACATGCGACGGAGTGGTTGGAGGACTTCGACAATCCGGAGGGTCGTGTCGCGTATGCACGAGCGTTAGCGGTCACCTTCTTGGCCGAACACGTGGATTCGGTGGTGGGCGATGCGAAGAAGGGGTTGGAAGAGTACATCTCGAACCACCTTGCCTCCGCGCAGGTCAACATCGCCACCGCTTTGACCGCCAGGCTCGCCGTGTCGCCGCCGCCACCGCCTCATCCCACGCCGCCCGCCATCCCAGAAGAGTTTTTGAAGTCGTTCAAGGCCGACATCCTGAAGGTGGTGACGGAGGCCACCCAGCAGTCTTTTGTTGCTTCCGGGATGAAGATCATGACAGAGATGATCGGCACTGTGGCGCCTGGTCGACGTGGGTCGTCGCCTTCGGCCAATGACGCCGATAACGCGCAAAGAAAAACGGTCGAGAAGCAGGGCCATAAGAGGACCGGCGACGGAGACGACAAAGGGAGCTCGAAGCGGAGCAAGGGAGCGGACGGTAGTTTCGGGTCGAAGCCTGCGCAAAAAAGCGTGGTCGACCAGCTGAAGACGAAGGCGGGGTGGAAGGTGGTAAGGACGTCGCACAGCAAGGGAGGCGGAAGCGGGGGAGCAGAGGGTGGCCCTGCCGACGGGGTTGCCGCCAACCAAGCTGCTCCGACTGGCCCGCCTTTGGTCGCCGAGCAGACCCATCCTTAGGCGAGCTGTGGGAAAGGCGTTACCGGCAAGGAGGTGCCAACTGCTCAGGCGGCGAATGATGGTGACTCCGGAACCACCAAGGGACCACCCGTCGCGGCGTCGGCCAAGCCTGCTTCTGCTACGGTTGCCGACACCACCAAGTCGAGTCCCCGTAACCCCCTTGCGGCTACCAGCGCGCCTGCCGGCCAGTCAGGTGCGAACAAAGATGGCGAGGCTGCTCCAGCTCCAGCAGCCCCGACTGCCGCCAAGGTTGTCGCGAAGGTTGCTTCGGCTAAGGGTGATGCCATGGCATCAGCTAAGGCCCCCCCCGGTGCTACCGCGCTCAGAGAGATGCTCCGCCGCATGGAGGCACATAGCAGGGACGTGCAGCAGCATCCCGTGGTCGACGCCGGCCTTCCTGGAACAGCACGCCGCTCCGTCACTACGCAGGTTGCCGGCAAGTCGTCCGGTGCCCCACCTGCCGCGCCTCCGGTGGCCGCCCCACCACCTGCGGACCCCAAGTCCGATTTTCTTCGCGCCCATTTAGGCGCACGCAAAGCAACTGCTCCGTCAGTGACCCTGCCGGAACTCGGCAAAAGCGCGACGCCGATGTCGGTAAACGCAACCGCACCCACACCAGGTGCATCTGTGGTCGATGTGGCGGCGGAGAAGGGAGTGAGTGCAGCGCTCGCCACCGGCGGCCGCGCAGACAAGCATGCCGACCTCGCTGTCGTCATGGCCCATTTTGAGGCAGCAAAGCGCCCCGAGCACGCCCCTGTTATGGCCATCATGGACACGGCGCATGTGGTGCCGTCGGCGACCCACGGAGGGGGTTCGACGGAGCAGACGGCCGCAACGGCTGCTGTCGCCGAGATAAATGCTGGACGGAAGGAAAAGGACGACAACGGGAAAGGAAAGGCGGTCTCTCAGAGGAGCACGCGGGCGATGACTGCGGGGAAGTTGACGTCGGAAGAGAAAGGAAAGAAGGCGGAAGGGGAGAAGGACAAGACGGGCGGCAAGGGTAAGCCGGCGAAGAAGAAGGAGAAGGCGGAGGAGGAGGACGAGGAGGGCGGCGAGGGAGATAAAGAGCATGGACGCAGGGGTCATGGCATCCGCCGAGACAAGGCTGGCGACGGGCAAGGGTGGGTGGGCGAAATTAAGGTACACGGACAGAATCGGTACATCGGCAAGTCGAGGGAGAAGATGGAGCTGGCCTACGAGCACGCGATTGCGTTCGTCGTCTACGACGGCTACGTGAGCAAGGTGCTCATGAAGGAGCTCACCGTCTTGAACCCGGGGGAGTTGGATAAATGGAAGGAGGTGTGGGCGGAGGTGAAGTTGTTGCCCACTGGGATGTGGACGGTGATGTGGGCCAGAGGCTTGTGCCATCCGAGAGCAAGGTAAGACGGATACTGACGTGCCGAGTTCTGACGACCAAGTTGGTGTCAAAACGCTGAAGTCCTGTCGTTTTAATGTGTTTGCGCGGCAGGTTCGACGATATACTCGGCAGGTACCGTGGGTATGCGAGTTCGGGTGTTGCGCTTCATGACGTGCTCTGGCCGGCGATCTGGTTCCCCATCATCGAGGACACGGAGGAAGGCAAGGAAGAGACGACCGCTCTCTTGTCGGCGATGGTAAATCGCGTGTCGATGTGCGCGGCGTATGGGAAGGTCGCGGCGAGCGCGGCGTTTGGGAAGGTCGATGCGAGCGTGGAGGGGAAGGCGGACGAGAAGGTGGAGATGGGGGCCCAGGCGTTAGCGGCATCGGCATGCGCCATCTGGTGCTTCTTGGAGACGGGGGCGTCGGTGCTCGGTGCTGTGGGCGAAGGGAAGGCGGCGGCGATGGTGGCAGGTGCGGGGGAGGCGAGGGCCAATGACTTCAAGGAGGTGATGCACGCGGTGATCGACATAGCACGCAGCAGGCAGGCTCCCGCTGGGGAGGTTGCACATAACGTCGCGCCATCGGTGCAGAGCCAGGCAGTTGCCAGGGCCTTCGCAAAGGGAGTTGAGGAAGTCGAGGCCGACATGATCGCAAGAGCGACGGTCGAGACCTTGGCGTTCTGGGGAATGTGCCCCGTCGCCGGGCCCAAGCTCAAAGCGCAGGGCATCGATGTGCCGTGTGACGCGAGGATGGAGTACGATATGGATCACAGGGGGAGGAAGAGGGAGAAGGTCAAGCAGAGCAAGGGCAGCAGCAAGAGGAAGAAGAGCAAGCAGGGCATGGGCAGTACGGATGCGTAGATGGCGGGCTGCGGTGTGCAGGGCACTATTGTATGGTTGGTGCCGACGGCCAAGTTATTCTAATGACTTTTGTATCGTAGGGCACGAATATTTTTCCGTTTTTTAGTTAATCACTGTCCACATTGAAACTTGCTAGCCGACTTTGAACGATGCGCCTTGTCGGCGAATGTGTCGACATCTAAAGGAACATCCTACTCGTCGAGCAGCGATGATAGACGGGGTAGACACATGCTATTCCGCGACGAGATATGTCGGCGAATATGTCGACGCCCTATCGACATGCAATCGTGCGGAACGTCGACATGAATAAGGCACAATGAATTGCACACATATGGTGGCGACTATGTCGGAGTCCGACATATCTGGTTCGGATGTATGTGTTTGATCATGTATGTTCGTGTTGCATCACCATCAACAAGTACAATGGGAACACATATGTTGCTAAATTAGGGCATCAACCTACGCTAAAACACATATGCACCGAGGATGTTCATGCCGACTTCTTGCGCTTTGACGGAGGACGCTGCGCAGGTGCGGTCTGCTTGGCCAAGTCGGCTACGGTCTTCGGCATCTGCTCCTCCCAGGTGTCTGGAAACAGGCGGTCGACCCACGTCGTCGGCTTCAGCTCGAGCGCCACCAGCGCACAGGCGAGGCGTAGCTTCGAGACCACCTTGGGGCCAAGCCCCTTGACGCCCATGCCAGGCTCCTTGGACATCGTCGGTGCCGTCTCCGGGTTGAGCACCGTGAGGGCATCGCAGAAGGTCCCAATGCCCGGTGCCGCGATCGTGTTCAGTGCATCGACCACGGCTTCGGTGTCGGCATCGCCGTCGCTCGCGCGTAGCTGGCGCACCGCATCCATGGCCTTCAGCATGCGGCGCACCCTCATGTTGAGTGCACCATGGGTCACGCCTTTGAGGAGGGTGTGGCGGTCGATGAACCCCGGCTCGGCGACCCTGTCGCAAAGACGACGGGTGTCATTGGCGGTGGCGGAGTTCCAGAGGCGCCAAGCGTCCCGCACGGTCTTTGAATCCCGCCACGGTTGCACCACGTTGAGCTCGTAACTGGCCTCCTCTGCCGTCTGGGGGGGTGGCGGGGGTTTCCCATCATCTTTCTTGGCTCCGGTCCCCGTGTTGGCCGAATCCGCGGAGCCACCTTCGCCCGGAGTTTGATCGGTAGCCGACGGCGGCGCCTCCGGCATCCTCCGGGCTTCTGACACACGGAGTGCCTCGGTGAGTCGAGCAAGCTCGAAGGTGAGCGACGCGATGGTGTCGTTTTGCTTCTCGATCGTCTCCTGAAAGCCTAGCTTCTCGAGCGCCGAGCGCTCGATCTCCTTCTTCAGCGCCTCCTTGAGGGACATGTTGTGATACTGGGTGTCCATGCGCACGGATATTTCCTGCAATGTTGAGTGTGCGGAATGGCGACAAGAGGGTAGAATTAATTCACCGGCTAAAATCCAACGACGCCGACATGGTCGGCAACTCACCTCCGGTTGTATCTGAGTCGGGTCCCGGCGCTTTTTGATCGTATCGGTGTCGACCGACTCGACCCCTTTCGCCCAGTGCTCGAAGAGGGCAATCCTGCAGAGCTTGGAACCTTGGACGTACGGGTGCCACGGTGTGCGGACGAGCTTCACCGCGAGGTCCTCGGCGACGATTCGTCGGAACATCACGAGGGTGCGCAAGAAGTGCACTACGGCTGCAGCGGCGTCGCTCCCGTTGACGGCACGCGTCTCCGCCTGCAAGTCGGAAAGTGGCGTGGGTTAGTAGGGAGTTGGGCAGCCAACTAGGCCACGACGACTGAAAAACATTGTCGGCGTCGGTGACATACATCGCGCAGCATAGCATCCACGCCGGGGAAGATGTGCTCGGCGAGGAGGTCCAGGAGTTTGTCGGAGGGCTCGACCCTGCTGCACCCCAAGAAGTAGTCTTGCTTGAGTCCCGAGTAGCCGGCCTTCCGCATCACCACCCCAACGGGAATGGCCGTGATGTACGCACGCGTCATCTTGTCGAGAGCCCAGTGTCCCAGCTCGGCGATCTCGGCGCGCGGCGTCCCTCCGATGGCTAACTCCTGCGCACCTCCGGCGCGGGCGGCGTGCACGTTCCTTTTGCAGAACACCTTGTTGGTCGTCCACACCTGCCGAGTCCAACGTTGGTGGGTGGCGGCGGAGAGCTCCTCCTGCTCCTTGTCGTTTCTGGCGAAGAAGAGATGCTTCTTGTACCAGCGTTCGCGTTCTGTGATGTCAAGCGGCGAAAGAAAGTCGGTGCCGGAGAACTGACCGATCTGGTCGAGGATGAAGTGCAGCCACAGGCCGGTCTCGCCGACGGCGCACAGCTCCGCTTCCAGGTGTCGCGCAGCGTAGCTCTGCTGAAGACGGGCATCCTTGGAAGTCTTCGAGTTACGCGCGGCGATCACCATGACGACCGGCTGGCTATCCGGGTTCACCTCCGAGGTGCTCGCCAGGTGGTACAAGAAGATGTCGGGGAGCGTGATCTCGCGGATGCTGCCGCCGTGCAGGAGAGTGTGGTGGGAGAGTAGCGTGAGCACCTTGATGAGCAGGAATCGCCACAGCGTCTGCGACGGAGTGGTAGCCCGCGGGTTCCACGCCGCCGCCGCCCATGTCGGCAGCACCCTCATCATGATCTGGCGGAACTGCTCGGCGGTGTAGGTATCGCCGATGGTGCCGCGTCGACGGTCGGCGCAGTTCCTGAACGCAAATCGGCGGGGAAAATCTGTTAGACTGCGTCGACTTCACAGTGCACAGTGATATATAATAAGGTTGTCGACCAACTTACTTGAGGTCCCTCTCGTTCTTGTGGCGGACGTTGAACCGCACCTCCGATCTCACCACCGAGATCTCCCTCATGAGGCCCAGCTCCTTCTCTCGGTACAGCGTCGCCTCCACCCTCGCCGCCATCTGGCATGCCTTTATCCGGCCGAGGATCGTGTGCACAGTTGTCGACCTCACAGGCCCCGTTCGCGTGGCATTGTTCTCCTCCCCGGGCTGGTCAACAATGAGGTTACACTCACGGCTCATTTGCTTCACGTAGGCGCGCAGCCGGGTTTCGGTGACCCTAGGGCCGTGCAGCCAGATGTACTGTCGGCGGACCACTTTCTCGTTGCACCAATCCTCTTTCTTGTTGTCGCGGATGTAGTGGCCGATCTCGTCGACGTGCCTAAGTCGTTGCTCATGGGGTAGCTTGTCGCGTAGCTGCTTCAGCATCTTCGCCGCCCACTTCTTGTAGTGGTAGATGAACGCGGTGTACAGCCTGAGCGTGCTATTCTTCTCCAAGCATTGTAGGTGTCGTAGGGCGTCCATTATGAGCACGTCAATGCTGGAGTACACCATGTCGTCCACTACAAAGTCCGTCGCCTTCCACACTTCGCGCGGCACCGACATGTGCTGATCGTCCTCCTTCTCGTCCGCTTCGAGCATGTCACGTATGTATTCAAATTCCCGCTTAAGGCGTTCTTCCAAGGTGCGCGGATTCGTGCTACGCGGAGGACGGTCGTCGACTTCGTCGTCGCTCTCTTCCTCGTCCTCCTCGTCGTTATCACCTTGGTTTTCCGAGCCGGCGGGCACCGACGAAGGTCCAGTCTGCCCATCTGCCGTCGGTGTCGACTTCTTCGTAAACTCCCCAATTGGCGGATTCGGTATGTCCTTGGTGTACTCCCCTTCGGGAATCTGAGTAAGTTTGTCAAGATCGTAAAGCAACTTCAGCGTCTCTACGGGGGCAGAGGACGGACTGTGGTCGGTTGGGGTACCAACGTCGGGCATGTCGACGTCGTCCATGACCGCTCGTATGCTCTACCGCCGGCCGTGGAAGAGGGAAAGATTGGTCAACCAGAGATGGTACTGATTCACGGGTGCGGTGTACGCCCTAATCGTCCTACGGCGGTCTTCCTCGAATTCCCTCTCAAGTGCTTCTAACTCAGCGTCGACCTCGAGTCGTTCCAGTTGCGCTTTGATGTCGTCGTCTACCGAATCGGCGGGGGGTGGGATAAGTTGTTGTGGCTGTTGGGCACTAGCCCTTCCTCTGGCCATGCGTCGCCGACTCGGTAAGGTTGGGAGATGCTATCGTCGCCCTGATCTATCGTCGTCGACTTTCCTAGATGACGACCTAGAACCTAGTAAGGCGAAGTCGACGATGGTCGACCCCAACACCGACCTATGGCAGTCTATTCTAGGTCGTCGCCTTTGTGCCGCCGCTCGGTCGTCTCGGCCGTCGAGTAACCTACACCCGCAGAGATGGCGAGGGTCCTGTGAACAAAACGAAGTGCTAGATGGCGCACAGGAGCATGAGAGAAACATGAAGCTGAACCGGCAGAATGAGAGCGTTGTGCGTGGTCAAGGAGGGGTATGGTTGCGAGCCACTGCGCACCTGCCGCGCTCCACGCAGCCCTCTTTGCAAGCGCCGCTGTGCACGTGCATGACGTGTCACGATCGATGCATGTCTAGTGTCACGCCGCTCTGCGCTCAACGGCACTCCCGCCGGTGCCTTGCCACGGTGGAATTCACGTGCGCCACGTGCAATAGGCCAATCACCTAGTTCCACTCTCCCGAAATGCCGTAGCGTCCTGCTCTCCCGCGCAAGCCTCATCGACCTGCGAGTAGGCGCGTGGCCGGAGGCTTGGTCGACGCCGACATTCCGTGACTCTGGGGCTCTCTTCGCCTATGCATTGTTTGGTCCGCACAGAACCATCCGCGTGGGTCGTGCTGCTGCGGTTGGATGTTCGGGCGACACCGACATCTCAATACCCCGCGTTCTCTGGCTATCTAGGTGGTGGACACATGCCAGTCGTCTTTCGCCGCGTGGACGATGGTTACAAGTTTCGCGCGCAGCGAAATATACCCGGTGGTGCGAAGCGGGGCCACGTCGGCGCCGTCGTGGCACCTCCCGATTGTCAGGCTCGATCTCGGCCGTCCCTACTAAGCCACGTGGCAGTAACCGCGGCTCGGCGCACAACGTGTCGAGCTGTGGTTCAGGGTCCGCTGAGGTATCCTTCTCGGGTTTCTCTCAGCGAAACCCGAGGTCGTCAGATAGTCGACAATCCCGAGGGGTTCAGAGCCTCAGAGGACTGCCAGGTCGCCCCAGTTTGCCACTCGCAAGTCGTCAGGAGCTCGTCAATCCCGAGGGGGTTCGTTGTCCTATCGCAACCGCGAAATTGGGCGGCAGGTTTCGTCGGCTGAGGTATACCATCCCGAGGAGCTGAGGTGTTTCCCGCCGCTACAGTAATAATTTTAACCTTCCCCTTCCTTTTTGAAATTTTCAAATGTCCCTCCCTCTCCCAAACAGATCCCGCACGAATGACCTCCACCTCAACGCGGTGTGCGGGTGTAACGCTAGAGGCATTTGCCTCTAGCGGCCAAGAGGGGTCAAGAAGAACCAAGATCAAGGAAGACTCTCAAGACCCAAGCTGAAGCCTCAAGCTCAAGAACCAAGCTGCTGTGGATGGAGCGACTGAAGCAGTTTAGCAGCTTTGCATGCTAGTTATTTAGTATTCTATTACAACTTGTTTGTTTGTAATCAATAGACTTAATTAGTTGGCTTTACGAGCAGGTTGCTCTGATAGTAGACTATTAGTTTCATGTTTCTGTACTAATATGCATCTGGTTCTCCATGGAAAGAACGAGATAAGACTTTTGCTAGCAGGACTTCGCCGTGACTATGACTAGCTAAGATCACGCGTTAACTTTAGTCGCCGTTAACTATGGTGTTCTTAAAGGAGACACGCCGTATATTGTTAAAGGAAGGATCCCTATCAATTTGTTCATTCGCATCGCGCTTCGCCTCCCTATGTTCGAATTATTCTTCCCCTTTCGCGCTTAGCCAGATCGCCACGAGAGGATCCATATCGTCGCGCGTAGTCCCATCGCGCTTCGACCCATCGCGCTTCGCCTCGTCGCCGTCCGCCGAAAGCTCGTCAGATTTATCATCTCCTGGCCTGATTCCTACTTTACCCTCTATCTTACCCGACATCGGCGCTTCGATTCGCGTTTACTCTTCTAGACACCTTTCCGCCTCTATATTCCTTTCCGCCTCGACCGATGGTGACCGCAAAGCTTCTGCTTCCACGTGTCAGATAGCCGCTCCATCCACGTGTGAGATCAGCCCCGTGCGACCGGCTGAAGCGCGCCATGACCCCAATCGCGAATCTCTAGCCGGCTGCGGAAGACCTACTGCTTTAGTTGAGTCCCCCTTAAATGCGGATTCGCCATCAGCAGCAAATGCTGCTTCGCTTTCCAGAAGCGCGCCGAGTAGACTCGATAATGATCTCCAGCGTTGGACAGAATATCAGAATTCCAGTAGCTGCCGCGGGAACAGAAGGATTCAGCATCACGAAGACCGCCGTTACATTCACTCCGTACAAGGTCACACTCTCTCCAACCGTCACCCTACAGTCCATCAAATTACAACAAATTCAGCACGATTCTTCCATAAATGCCACCGTATCCCTAACCTAATGTCACGTTATGACTTTACCTCACGCAAGCACGTGTCTCATAAAGAGTCGCCTCAAGACTCTGTAGCGGGTACAGCGCGGAAGCTACACATTCACCACCATAAGCCTGGGAAGATGTCGTTCTACGACATGACGGTGGAGAAATACGCTGCGCTGCCGCTTAACACCTTGACACTTAGCCAGATGCTGGCTCAGGGGGAGGAGGCGCTTAGAGACCCTACTTTCATGGTGCGCAATGCACGGTGGGTGCTTAGCTAAGTGGGTGAATGAATCTGTGCTGGTTAGTCTCTAAGTAATTCGGTAGCTACTCCTATTCTCAATTGTTAGGGTTTCGTGTTGTTACTTTCCCTTATGGCAGTACATGTTTCATTATGTGAGTTTACATACCTGGTTGGCTCTGTGTGTCTTTGTTTGTTTGTTTTTCGTTCTCTCGTTTCTCTAACGAATAAGTGTTTCGATGTCTCTCCCTACCCCATTCATCCACTCCCCCAGATTCGTTCATAAAGAGATGCCTATAAGGCTGGCGAAACGGCTCATGGATCTTCAGTTCTTACCCCACATAGTCGTCATCAACCCCCACATCAAGCAGGTAGGGCTGGCTCCGAATTGTGGTCCCTGTAGATCTACAGTGTACAGTGCATGGTAAGTAGCATTCTTGTCATTGTGGCGAAGCGGCTGAAGGATCTTCAGTTCTTACCCCACATAGTCGTCATCAACCCCCACATCAAGCAGGTAGATTTTGCCGTGTATGCATGGTAGCTGTGGGTCTACAGTAGTTTATAATACTACGCTTATCACTTTGGCAAGATGGCTGATGGACCTGCATTTCTTACCCCACATCGTCGTCATCAACCCCCACATCAAGCAGGTAGGCCTGTGGCTGTATGTATTGTCGCTGTAGATCTACAGTCTACAGTGCATGGTATTGACATGCTCACAGCGTTCGTTCGTCCTTCAGTCTCACTGCACATGCATGTGATGCTCCCATTCCACCCATGTTCATCCCCTTTTCACGCATGCCGCAGGTGTATGGTTCCTATCGCCAAGCCTTCGACTTGCTCACTACGTTCCTATTGAGCCTCACTCACTACGCATGCATATGCATGCGCGTTTGCAGGTTTCCCACTCTTATGCAAGTGGGTGCACCCACCCACATTCTGCTCGCACCCACATTCTGCTCCCACCCACATTCTGTTCCCCCATCCCATCTGCAAGTGTATGACTCCTACCGCCAGGTCATCCGCATGCTCACTGCGTTCCAATTGCGTTTCACTGAATATGCATGTGATGCTCCCATTCCACCCGTACCCATCCCTTGATTCGCACGCAGGTGTATGACTCCTACCGCCAGGCCTTTGACATGCTCACTGCGTTCCTCTGGAGTCTCGTTGTGCATGCATCATGCATGTGATGTGATGTTTCCATTCCACCCATGTTCATCCCTTTTTACGTATGCAGGTGTACGACTCCTACCGCCAGGCTTTTGACATGCTCACAGCATTTCCGGAGATCAAGACTCTCGAAGACAATGTGAAGTTTACTCAGATGCTTACCATGGTGCGTGCTGCTGTACTTATAATGGGCCAGCCTATAGCGGGTACACCACATTCCATCGTGGACATGCTCACAGCATTTCCAGAGATCAAGACTCTCGAAGACAATGTGAAGTTCACTCAGATGCTCACCATGGTGCGTGAAGGGGCAGTCCATAGCGGGTATAAAGTCTTCTCTTTGCGTTCTGTGTTTCCAGAAAAGGAATAATGCTGAGTGTGGGAGAGTTCCCCTTAGGATGTCACACGTACACATACACACACCCCTCTCCACCGCTCTCCACCCCACTTAACCATCATCCATCCCCTTGTGTGTCTCAGCTGGTGGACGATCGCTCGCCGCTGCTGGGGTGCTGGCACGGGGGGTGAGGGAGTGCTCCCCTTAGGCTAACACATGCACGGCACGCACACCCTTCTCCACCCCTCTCCACCCCACCCAACCACCAGATCTACCCGTGTGTGTCTCAGCTGTTGGACGACCACACGTGTATCCTGGGAGTGCTGGCACAAGGGGTGAGGGAGTGCTCCCCTTAGGCTAACACATGCACGCACCCCTCTCCACCCCTCTCCACCCCACCCAACCACCATCCATCCCCTTGTGTGTTGTGTGTGTGACTCAGCTGGTGGACGACCATACTCCTCTGCTGGGAGTGCTGGCACGGGGAGAGAGGGAGTGCTCCCCTTTAGGCTGGCACACGTACACGCAACCCCCCTCAACCCCTCTCCACCACACCCAACCACCACCCAAATCCCCTTTTTTGTGTCTCAGCTGGTGGACGACCATACGCCACTCCTCGGGGTGCTGGCACGGGGGGTGAGGGAGTGCTCCACTCAAGCTGTCACATATGTACACACCCCTCTCCACCCCTCTCCACCCCTCCATGCATGTACCTCAGCTGGTGGACGACCATACGCCTCTCCTCGGGGTGCTGGCGCGGGGGGTGAGGGAGTGCGCTCTGCGGCCGCTAGTGGGGAGGGAGCTCGACCTGGACCCCTTCCTGGACAACATGTGAGTGGCTGTGTGTGGCTAAGTAAGTGACTGTGAGTGACTGCTTCCTTATGTGTGCGCTGGTGGTGCTGCTGGGAGTGTTGGCACGGGGGGTGAGGGAGTGCGCTCTGCGGCCGCTAGTAGGGAGGGAGCGCGACCTGGACCCCTTCCTGGACAACATGTGAGTGGCTGTGTGCGACTGAGTGGGTCACTGCTGTGGTGTGAGTTTGCTCACACAAGGGGAAAGAGTCAATGAGTGTGCTCCCTGCGGCCACTAGTAGGAGTATTTTTGAGTCACTGTGTGTATGATTCTCTCAGTGACACCTTTCTTGTGTTTGTACTGGGAATGCTGCCCTGAGTGCTCTCTCTGACCGCTAGTGGGGAGTGGCTATAGTTTCATTACATAGCATCACAGTAACTATCATATCACCCACACATGATTTTTTAGAATTCTCAAAAAACACGCTCTGCAACACATGATTTTTGAGAATTCGCAAAAAACACGCTCTGCAACACATGATTTTTGAGAATTCTCAAAAAACACGCTCTGCAACACATGATTTTTGAGAATTCTCAAAAAACATGCTCTGCAACACATGATTTTTGAGAATTCTCAAAAAACACGCTCTGCAACACATGATTTTTTAGAATTCTCAAAAAACACACTATAGTTTCATTACATAGCATCTCAGTAACTATCATATCACCCACACGCTCTGCAACACATGATTTTGCACCCCTTCGTCATCACTCTGCGTGTGTGGCTGCGATCGCGGATCAGCCGGAGGGTCATCGCAGAGCATCACATCACATTCACTCACACATGCTTCCTGAACCAGCCCTCACCCTCTTCCACCACTCCACCCACTTACCCTTGCCCATTTGTATCACAGGCTGCGATCTCGAATCAGCCGCAGGGTCATCGCGGAGCATCGCATCATAAACACTCACAGGATTCCTCACCCCTAACCACCTCAACCCCCTTTCCACCACTCCATTTCCCGTTGCCCATCTGTATCACAGGCTGCGATCTTGAATCGGCCGCAGGGTCATCGCATGTAACTCCTCACCCCCATACCCTCCTCTTGAGTATATAGACTTCTCGCATACACACTCTATTCCCTCTCCTCTCCCCATTCCACAGGCTGCGATCTTGAATCAGCGGCAGGGTCATCGCAGAGCATCACATGATCACATGATTCTTCACTCACACATGATCACTCACCCCTCACCCGCCTTACACCACTCCACTCACAGGCTATGGTGAGGAGGCTATGGTTGCAGGCTATGATCTCGAATCAGTCACAGGGTAGTTGCAGAGCATTGAGGTGTATTTTGAGGCGCCTCAAAAGAGGTGTATTTTGAGGCGCCTCAAAAGTCACGAATCACGAATCAGTTGCAGGGTAGTTGCAGAGTATCACATCACTCACACATGTTTCCTCAACCACCCCTCACCCCTTTTCCATCACTCCACCACTTTCCCCCCCTATCACAGGCTGCAATCGCGGATCAGCCGTAGGGTCATTGCGGAGCATCACATCGTATTCACTCACACATGCTTCCTCACCCCTCACCCTTTTTCCGTCCCTCCACTGCCCCCCCCTGATCACAGGCTGCGGTCGCTAATCAGCCGCAGAGTCATCGCATCGCAGAGCACATCAAAGTCTCTCACACATGCTTCCTCACCCCGCACCCGTTTTCCATCCCTCCACTTCCCCCGCCTAATCACAGGCTGCGATCGCGAATTAGCCGCAGGGTCATCGCAGAGCATCACATCTGCCTGCAGCATCAACGGCCAGGATTCATTGGCGTCATCTGTTCCCAGGTGCGTTTCATCTTTCCCCAGGTGCATCTCATCTGGATCCAGGAGTGCGTTTCATCTGGACCCAGGCGCGTTTTAACTGGCCCCCATCCAATTCCTTTTTGTAGCAGCAAGAGTCAAGCAGTGCCGCAGTGCCCCCCCTCTCCGCACCCGTCTCCCATCTCTCCCCCCTCACCTATCAGCTCTCCATGCAGGCGGTGGTGGGTGCATCAGTGCAGCAGTGCACAGATGTGTCTTTTTGAGACGTCTCAAAAATACACTTTTTACACGAGCATCAGTGCACAGACGTGTCTCGCCGCACCTTTGGCTTCTCGCCGTAAGTTTGAGGTCCCCATCCCCGTCCCCACGTTCCCCTTTCCTCCTTCCTCTCTCCCCTTCCCATCAGCTGTCAATGCAGGCAGTGGTGGGTGCAGCAGTGCAGCAGTGCACAGATGTGTCTTTTTGAGACGTCTCAAAAATACACTTTTTACACGAGCATCAGTGCACAGACGTGTCTCGACACACGTTTGGCTTCTCTCCCTGACCTCACCTCTCTCCTCTCTGCCTCCCATCTCTCTCCCCATCAGCTCTCCATGCAAGCAGTAGTCCAAGCAGCAGTGCACAGATGTGTCTCGCTGCACCTTATGCGTCTGCCCTCCTGTCACCAAGTATACGTCCGTCCCCCCGCCCCTCTCCCCCATCAGCTCTCCATGCGTGCAGTGGTGGAAGCAGCAGTCAAGCCGTGCACGGACGTCTCTCAACGCACCTTCGGCTTCTGCCCTGAGTTCACCACTCTCCTCTTAACCCCCCACCCGCAACAGCTCTCCATGCAAGCAGTGGTAGAAGCAGCAGTCAAGCAATGCACGGACGTCTCTCAACGCACCTTTGGCTTCTGCCCTGAGTTCACCACTCTCCTCTTAACCCCCCACCCGCAACAGCTCTCCATGCAAGCAGTGGTAGAAGCAGCAGTCAAGCAGTGCACGGACGTCTCTCGCCGCACCTTTGGCTTCTGCCCTGAGTTCACCTCTCTCCTCCTCTTAATCCCCCAGCCGCAACAGCTCTCCATGCAAGCAGTAGTCCAAGCAGCAGTCAAGCAGTGCACAGACGTCTCTCAACGCACATTCGGATTCTGCCCTGAGTTCACCGTGCATGGGGATGTGCACTCCACTCCACCTTCTGCTGCTCCCCTTCCCCTCCCCCCATTCCACCAGCTCTCCATGCAAGCAGTGGTCCAAGCAGCAGTCAAGCAGCGCACAGATGTCTCTCGCTGCACATTTGGCATCTCACCTCCCTCTTGTCATCCCTCCCTCTGTCTCCCTTGTCTCCCCTCTCATGTCAGCTCTCCATGGCAAGCAGTGCACAGATGTCTCTCGCTGCACATTTGTCTCAGCAGTTCCCCTTCCCCCGTTCTCCTCGCTCCACCCCTTCCTTCCAGCTCTCAATGCAAGCGGTGGTCGAAGCAGCGGTCAAGCAGTGCGCGGACGTGTCTCGCCGCACGTTCGGCTTCTGCCCTGAGTTTGACGTGCATGGGGATGTGCACTCCACCTTTGCCTACGTGCCGGCACACATCGAGTACATGCTGTTCGAGATTCTCAAGGTGTGTGTTGAATAAGCACGTGCTGAGTCAGTGTGCGATGCATGGATCATATCTGTATGTGCATTATGTATGTGCACGTGCTACATGTGTGCTCTGCCCTGAGTTTGACGTGCATGGCGATCTGCACTCCACCTTTGCCTATGTGCTGGCGCACATCGAGTACATGCTGTTTGAGATTCTCAAGGTGTGTTGAGCCAGAATGTGCCATGTATATGGATGTGCATATGTGTGTATGCGCGGTGACTGTGAGTTTGACGTGCATGGGGATGTGCAATCCACCTTTGCTTACGTGCCGGCACTCATCGAATACATGCTCTTTGAGATACTCAAGGTACGTTTGTATATATGTGTATTCTTAATCAGTGTATGCATATGTGTTTTATGTTGTGCCCTCGATTCAGCATGCATGGGGATGTGCACTCTACCTTCGCATACGTGCCGGCACACATCGAATGCATGCTTTTCGAGACCCTGTCTACTTGTATGTGTGTTCACTCAGTGTGAGCCGTGTCTACTTGTATGTATGTCCACATGTATATATGTGTCATGTGAATCAGTGTATGCATATGCGTGTATGCTGTGAGCCTGAGTGCACCGTGCATGGGGATGTGCATTTTATGTTGTGCATACATCAGGTACGTGTGTCTCAATCAACCCATAGAACGCATCATCGAGCAATGGTGGCGCATTGTGTGAAAAGGCCTACGAGGAGGTCAAGTCATTCTCTTATGTGGCCTTCCCCTCTTTGCTTCACTTCACTCACACCCTCTCTCCCCCCACTTCCCACCTTCCGCCCCACCTCCCTCTACCAAAGCAGATCGCGAGCAGTGGTGGAGCCTTATCTGAAGAAGAAGCCTCACGAGGGCAAGTCATTCTCTTATGTGGCCTTCCCCTCTTTGCTTTCCTCGCACCCTATCCCTCCTCTCATTCTTCTCTGATTTGCAGAACGCATCGCGAGCAGTGGAGCATCGTCTGAAGAAGGCGCACGAGGAGGGCAAGACAGCCTCTCATGTGATCTTCACCTCTTTGCTCCCCTTGCACCCCTCCCTCGGATCGCATCACGAGCAATGCAATCCCTCAAAACACCTTCCCTGTTTCCTTCCTTTCACTCCTGTTTCCTTCCTTTCACTCCTGTTTCCTTCCTTTCACTCTCTATCTGCAGAACGCATCGCGGGCAGTGGTGGAGCATCATTTGAAGAAAGCTCACGAGGAGGGCAAGACAGCCTCTCAGGCGACCTTTCCTCCCGTTACAATCACAGTCTGCAGAGGTCACAACGAAAGCACAATCAAGGTATGCATATCTAAAAGCACTAGTGCCAATCTGGTTCTTATTTGATTTTTTCTTCTCCCGTTACAATCACAGTCTGCAGAGGTCACAATGAAAGCTCAATCAAGGTTCGGCTCTAGCAGGTTGTGTTAAGAAGAATCCTTGAAACCCCCACATGCAGTCACACTGACGTTCAAGTGCGAAATGTTTTGCAACTGGCCAACAGTGCAAGATGTGCTGATCCTTCCGGTTTGGTTGGGTTTGGTGTGGTGCTGGCAGGTGTCGGACCAGGGAGGGGGGATTGCGAACGAGCTAAAGGAGAAGGTGATGGGAGTGGTGGGAGAGTAGGGAAGAGGGGATGGGGAAAATGAAGGGGAGGAGGGGGGAATGGTTGACTTGAGGGGACGCCGGCTTTGGGATTCTTGAGAGAACGGCAGTGCTCCTTTCTGGAAGGAACGGGAGTGCTCAGAGCTCTTTGGGTGGGATTCTGCAATCGCGGCCAATCGATTTGGAGAGTAACAGAGGTCAAGTTCCTTTCCTGCACTGCACTGCTTCCCACTGTACCATCATCACCTCACTTAATCGCACTCTACCCCCTTGTACCACACTCCACCGCAATCTACCGCATGCTTCAGGTGTGGAGCTACGGATTCTCGTCCCTGGATGAGGATGCAGAGGCAGGGTCAGCTGCAGCTGCAGGTGCGTGTGGGGGTGGTGTGGGTGTGTTTGGGGGTGTGGGTGTGTGTGGGGGGGGGAGGAGGATGGTATTGTGGGTGTGCGTGGGGGGGAGGGGGGTGTGGGTGTGGGTGTGTGTGCGTGTGCACATGCGTGTGTCTCTGGATGAGGATGCAGAGGCAGGGCCAGCTGCAGCTGCAGGTGTGTGTGTGGGGTGGGGAGGGAGGAGAGTGGGGGGGACGGGGGAGGGAGTGGAGAGGGGGGAGGGAAGGGGAAAGGGGGGTTGCGTGCGTGCATGTGTGCGTGCACAGATGTGTGTTGTAAACATGAACTATGTTTACATTTCCACAACAACATCTACCTTGCCTCACTCCTTGTGCGAAAATAGTTCTTTCACTGCTAGGATCTTTCCTGCAACCCCTCTGTACCCACTCCCGCTTCCCCCACTCCCTCGGCTTTCCCCCATCTCCAACCCCTCCCGACTCGTGTGCGACTTGGTTCAGAATACAATACTCTCCCCACTCTCTCCCCCTTCCTGCTTCTCCTCCCTCCTTCCTCTCTCCCCTCTCATGGCTGGTCTGGGCTTCGGCCTTCCCCTCTCCCGACTCATGTGTTACTCCGTTCAAAGCACACTCCCCATGACCACTCCCTCCCTCTCCCCATTCCCCTCTCCAGGCCCTCTCGACTCCCATGGCAGTCCCATGGCCCCTCCTCTCTCCCCATTTCTCTTTCCCCTCTCATGGCTGGTCTGGGCTTCGGCCTTCCCGTCTCCGATCCCATTCTCTTCTGCTTTCTCTGTTTTCGCATGTACACCCCTCCTCTCTCTCCATCCCCCTGCGCCAGGCCCTCTTGACTCCCATGGCAGCCCCATGGCCGGCCTGGGATTCGGCCTTCCCCTCTCCCGACTCATGTGTGGCTTTGCTCGGCACTCTCTGCACCACTCCCCACCCATCTCCACCACTCTCCCCTACCCGCCAGGCCCTCTTGACTCCCACGGCAGCCCCATGGCTGGATTGGGCTTCGGCCTTCTACTCTCCCATCGGATTCACCTCTGGTTGGCACTATCTGCACCACTCCCCACCCCCCTTTACCGCTCCCTCTTCCCTCCTCGGCAGGCCCTCTCGACTCCCACGGCAGTCCCATGGCTGGATTGGGGTTCGGCCTTCCCCTCTCCCGTCTGCATGCACAGTACTTTGGGGGAGACATTGAGGTAAGACGTACAATCCGAGAGTTATGTTGTTAAGTTCCACCAGAACTGGCCGGACTGGGGTTCGGCCTTCACCTCTCCCGTCTGCATGCGCAGTATTTTGGGGGGGATATTGAGGTGAGGTGGAGATTGGGTGTCTAATCTGGTTAGTTGCTGATTAACTTGCCTAATTTGTTCTGTCCTTCGATTCTTGTGACTGCATTGTTATGGCCCGTGCCATATTACCCTTGTCCCTCTTTCCCCCCACCTTCCCCTTCCTGTTGTCCTCTTTATGCAGTTCTTCAGTATCCCTGGTTACGGCACGGATCTCTACATTAGAGTGCATAGACTGGGCAATCACCAAGAGGAATTTGAGATCTGATCTTCAGTTAAGATTCGGCCAGCTGTTTCTGTAGGCAGTGAAGTTTACCTGCTTCCTGCTGTATACAGCACATACACAGTATGAAGTTCTTCAACCATTCTTTGCCAGTTCCAGCACTTCCTTTGTACACTGTACCGTACATTGAGGCACTAAACAAATACCGTATCTTACTGGCTCCTTGACCCATGCTGGAGGGTCCTTGGCTCCGTATTTCTGTGAACTTAGAAGTTCTATTGATTAGTGCCACTAAAGTTTAGCTGGAGTTTCTGTGCATGCTGGGGTGGGGAGTGCTTCTTTTTGGAAGCTTTTAGTGGGAAACTTAACAACGAACCAAGGTTCAAATTGCTTGCTTCTCCATGGTTGGGGGTGCGTTTCTCCTAGAAAGCTCTCAGGTTGAGACAAACAACACTGCACTTGCAGTACTACCGTCTATTGCACTACTTACAGGAGAAAAGCAAGACAAAACTCCTGAACACTTGGCCACTCCAACACAGCTCACTCATATTTCAGCCTCCCTTAGTGCAGACATTCACACTCTCTCCAACTGTCCTGCAAATCCATAACCCTGCCTTAGGTGCTCCTCGTGTACGTAACCAACAGGGTTACCATCGTTTACAATCCGACCTGCCATCATGATCCAGTAACCAGAAAATCCCATCATTTTTCATCTTCCCGTCCCGAGAATTTCGTGTCAAGGACAACTCTCGGTTGTGTTTCCGAGCCATCAGTGTCACGGAGACAGACTGAAATGCTCTTGGAGGGAAATCTGGCTCAGTTGAAGGGAAAACTTCCCGTTCTCACTTCCAACGTTCGCCTTTCACGCGGCCCGTGGAGCGAATCTCCCTGCTCCTCTGCCGATCAGCCTTCCGCAACTCCAGCTGCTTGTGGAACTTCTTAAGAACCCGTTCAGCTACGGCCTTGGATCCCTCGATTTGCTGTTCCAGGCGCGCCGCTTCCGCCTGCGCCTCGTCCCACTCCCACCGGTTGCACTCGTCTTGCTTGGGGGGCTGCGGGGGTTCCGCCGGGTGATCTGTCATGCAAACGGGCGAAAAGTAATCATTATTATAGGAATCTTCAAAGATATCCTGCAGAGGTATGCATAAGCTGTAAGAAATCAAATGAAATCGGGATATTGGCCCTCAAAGAACGTGTTCGCATACCTCGTTTGTAAGCGGCCTTCAGCTTGGCGCGCTGTGCCTTCGTCATGCGAGAAGTGCACTGTGACTCCCAGCCCTTGGATGACATGATTTCCGGGAGCTCTAAATCGACGGTCGCCATCGCTTCTGGAGGTGAGAGCCTGCTTGAAGACTTCCGAAGTCCTTTAAAAAAAAGTTCGTTCTATGAGCTGACTGTGCGGGGGAGACTAAGCCGGCTTCTGGGGGATAAGGCTTTCAAAAACCAAGATTATTATAAAAGCTAATATACTCTGTGGCGCAGGTAGGAAAGTGAGTACTTTCTGTGGTGGTGGGTTGGGTAGATTTTGTGGAATCAACAGCTGAAAGAACTCCGAAAGCAGAAGACCAAGAAAGGAATGGGAAGTGTGATGGAATGGGAATGACTCGCACACCCTTTTATGCTGTACCCACCGACCAACCCAGCAATGCGAAATTGATGAATTTTCTCCCCATCAGCTAAGCGAGTCCGAGTCGCACCTCGGAAGCGCAGCGAAATAGGGTTTTGCGTTCCACACGCAAGAAAATTCGGTCGGCACTGTAGCCGGTTTCGTGATGATGGCTGGAGGTCCACGATACCAGATACAGTAGCGTGATTGGTGGTTCTTCCAGAAATTCTGGCGCCCTATACGCAACCGTGACTTTTGAAGACTGGATAAACCCGAACCTCTGTAAAACCCTGAAGTACCCGCTGTAAGGTCCATCGCTGATGGTGCTCAACATTTTTGCAAAGAGTAGCTTACAATTTCACAAATGGAGCGTTACTTGGAAGCAGCTGTTACGGGTGCAATGAATCGAGGTAGCGAGAATTGCACTAAGGTGTCAAACGAGTACAAAATGTGAGCGAAGGCATGAGCGAACATTTATACGCGAAACATGCAAAACGGTAACGCGGTGCGTGCGAACTTGCTAGTGCTACGCTGGAGCGAGGCTCGGGCTAGTCCCGAAGCGTAGGCCGATACGGCCATGCCAGCAGTGCGAGGTTTGGCAAAACAGTGCGCGCGAAGTCGGCGAAGTTCCGTTAGCAGTAACGGGCGAATAATCGGCTGTTGCTGTACGCGATGTAGTCGGCTCCGTAAGGAATGCCGAGAAAATTCCTTACACTACCCCCCCCCTTAAGAAGCCCCCTCCGCTACGCGAGTGCGTGTATATCGCGGAATCCTCGGCTTCTCAGGTACACTTGCAGGGCAGGGTGATTTTCGATGTTGCTCAGGGGCACCCAGCTATCTTCAGTTGGCGTGCGGTCTTTCCAGCGAACGAGGAATTCAATCCTCCTGATTCCCGTGGGGTGGCGGATCCGATGGCTCAAGATTTTTTCGGGCTCGATGATCGGCTCTGATGCAGGGCGAGTCATTGATTGTGGCCGGTGACGCGGTAGTTGACTCGTGGTCGGGATGTATGGGCGAAGTAGGCTGACGTGGAACGAAGGGCTGATGTACCAGTCAATTGGCAACAGTAGGTGCGCGGTGACAGGTGTGATCATGTGACTGATTTGGAATGGTCCACAGTAGCGCGGTCGTAATTTTGGTACGTCGGGCAGTCGCAGATTTTGCGTGTCGAGCAGCACGTAATCTCCAGATTGGTACGTGACAGGGCGGCGGTGGCGATCAGCGTTGCGCTTAGCGATGACGTTGGCCTTTTTTATTGCTTCGGCGGCTCTGGCGCGGGCAGCTTGCAGGATTTCGGCGAATTGTTGTGCACGTGGCGTTGGGTTGTCCGGACTCGGCGTCATGGGCACTGTGGGGTTTTGCCCATAGTTCAGGTAGAACGGGGACTGCTGCGTCGTGGCTGATGTGGCGTTGTTGTACGCGAACTCGATCAGCGGCTGCTGCTGCTCCCAGGTCGTGGGGTCGTCGCACGTGGCACGGATCAACTGCTCCATCGTCTGATTCGTCCGCTCCGTTTGGCCGTCGGTCTCGGGGTGGTACGACGAACTGAACTGTAGCCTGGTCCCGAACTGCTCCCAGAGGTTCTTCCAGAAGTTGCTGGTAAACTTCGTGTCCCTGTCGCTGATGATTGCTGCTGGTATCCCGTGCAGGCGAACAACGGCTGCGATGAACAGGCGAGCGGTCTCCTCGGCTGAGATCGACTTTTTGCACGCAGCGAAGTGTGCCATCTTCGTCAACCTATCCACGACGACCATCACCGCGTCGTTACCCCCAGGGTTCGAAGGTAACCCTGTGACGAAGTCCATGGTTACTTGCTGCCAGGCGCGTTCGGGCGGTGGGATCGGCTGCAATTGACCCGCCTTCCGCTTCCTTGAACTCTTCATCACCTGACACGTCGGGCACGAGCCCACGTGCTGCTGTACGTCGGTCAACAACTCCGGCCAGTAATAATACCGCTGCAGTTGCTGTCGCGTTTTTTCGACCCCGAAATGTCCCGAGGTAATCCCGTCGTGTGCCTCCTGCAGTAGCAGCTCCCTCAGTAGTGAGTACGCGGGTACCCAAATGCGGTTGGTGCCTGTTTTTACGTAATAGACTCCTTTTGCTTCTGCCAGTTGCTGTGAATTTCCGGTCGTGAAAAATGGGTCGGTGCGGTATCCGTGGGTGAATAGGCCAGTTAAAAGCGGGTTGGTCTGGGCGAGTAGGATGGCGTGGAGTTGGGCGGTGGGGCGGGTGAGAGCGTCGGCGATGTTGGATGCTCCTTTTTTGTACGTGACGGTGTAGTGAAAATTGGACTCGAGATAGTCCAACCAACGAATCTGTCGTAGGTTGAGATTCGGTTGGGCGCGAAGGTACTGTAGCGAGCGGTGGTCTGTCCGTACTGTCACGTCGGCGCCAGTCAGGTAACATCGCCAAACTTTGAACGCGTGCACGATCGCTAGCATCTCGCGGTCGTGTATCGGGTAGTTGCGTTCGGGCGGGTGCAGTTTGCGGGACTCGAACGCGATTGGCTGGAGGCCATTCCCGAAGTCCTGCAACAGTACTGCTCCCACAGCGATGTCACTTGCGTCGGTGACGAGCTCGAACGGACGGTGGGGATCTGCAATGTGAAGGACGGGCGGGGAGCACAAAATATTTTTGAGGGCCGAGAAGGCAGCTTGCTCTTTCTCCCCCCACGTGTACTCAACCCCCTTCCTCAGCAGGTCGGTCAACGGGGCAGTCAGTTTCGCCATGTCGGGGACGAACCGGCGCACGTAGTTGACGAACCCCAGGAAACTCTGCAACTCGGTCAAGTTGGTCGGCGCGTGCCAAGCCTGAATCGTCGCAATTTTCTTCGGGTCTATTTCCACTCCTGCAGCTGAAATAACATGTCCCAAAAACTCCAGGCGGTCCTGTAAAAACTCACACTTCGATGCTTTGGTCAGTAGTCGGTTCTCACTCAGGATTTTAAAAACTGCTTCGATGTCGTGTAAGTGCTGTGCTCTGTCCGGGCTGTAAATCAGTATGTCGTCCAGATAAACGATGACGCACTTATCTAAAAGCGGGCGGAATGCTTCGTTCATGGTCATTTGGAAGGTGGCGGGGGCGT